GTGTGGTTACTCTATGTAAATCCCTATTCTCTGTATTGAAAATATTACTATATTCCCAGTTCAAATTTGCTCTTCATAAGTGCTAGATGTTATTTCGCTGACTGTCACGATACGGTGAGTGAGTGTGGACCATGATATGACTTCCACATAAAATCTTGTAGATTAGGTCGTCACATATGGCATGTCTACAATTTTGGGGTTAGGTCTATCATTATTTTTGTCCATAACCAGCTTATTGGTACGTAAGTGCTGTGAAGAAGCTGTTTGGGGTTTCTTCAGAAACGCAGTGATATACAAGTTTCTATGACGTTAGCATAATATTTTCCATATTTAAACAGGTTTTGCGGAATCAAGAAAAATATTGAGTTGACTTTAAAGAAAGGGAAAAAGCAGGGGAAAACGAAGAAAAGAACGTGAAATATGTAAACATATTAATAAGCGTGTTTGTGAAAATAGAAACAGAACAAACGATGGTGTATATATTGCCAAATGAATGAAAAAATAGATAAATAACCGAGAAAATAAACCATTAATGCAGCAATATCTGACAGTAGAATAAGAGGTTATGCGTTAATATTCAAGAATGATGCTATGAAAGTTTCGGTTAATTGCAAGGCATAATGAGACATTAGTTTGTATGGGTCATTTATAAGAAACGAATGAAGCAGCAAAGATAAATGTATTAATGTCAAATTGGGCTATAATGCAGCGGTTACATCAGGAATCATCCAATGGTTTTCAGTATCTGGCCGATGAGTACGAAATTACTAAGCCCCAGTGTAACAGAGATAAAACGCTGGAAATCCCTCCACAGCATTTTACTCCGCACTATTGTCATTTATTTATTTCTTCTCTTTGGTTTGTATTTCGTCTTCTAGTCAGGTCTCTTTTCAACCACACATTATGTTCTTCAGTCTTCCCTGTCTGAGCTTTTGTTATTTGACCTTGGTTAAAGATGTGTCATTTATTACTTAGTTTGCTGTTGCGTGTTACCGGACTGTTAACAATAATCTCGTGTTTAGCCGAACTCAAGTTCACGGCGTGATTCGGTGTATAACTGTTAACCTGTGACTTTTTGCTCGGAAAGGTTGCTGGAGTCCTTGCAGATAAATATCCCATCCCAATTTCCCGAGGACTTTTTGTTGATTCTCAGGTGTCAGACTGTTGTTTTTTGACTTATCTTTTTGTCGTCTAGCTCGTGCTAGACAAACTCTTGACTGCATAACACAGACTGTGTCGTTTGAGGTATTTGTACCTTTGATATAAATTATTCTCTTTCTTAAATTAGAAGGGTTTAAACAGACACACTGGGTTTGTGTTTTGATATAAATTAATAGGAGTCAGTCAAAAACGTTCTGTGCACTTTGCAGAAGAATGCAGTTTGGTCTAGTGAAACAAGCTTTGGTTCTTTAGTTATGCTTTCAAACCGAATATTGGCATTTCGGTCGTTACAACCATTGTTGGATATGTGGATTGCAGTTGCATTGGATCCTAACCACAATCCACAAAGCTGAACTGGGAAAATAGACTTTCAATACAAAATGAAGTTCAATAATAGTGGACATGGTTACACATTCATTCGAAATTCAATTCATCGGATGGCATGGCTCGTCCTCGCAAGCGTGGTCATTCTTGTGTAACATCACTTTCATTCAAATTAAATATATTGTTCTATATCTAGTCTGAATGTGTTGTACATCATATATTGGTGATTGCTACGACACGATGAGTCAATGCAGACAATGATGTGACTTGCACTTTAGGCCTTATAGGTTAGGCAGTTACGTCATGGCAAATATTAAATTTTAGGATAAGGCCTATCATTAGAGCAGTGCCGATAACGAAGTAGACCATAATTCTACCGGCTGGCAAGCCGAGATTCACTGTTAATCACTACGGTTGGACGCTTACAAAGAATTAGTTCCCCTACTTAAACGATTTTGAATCGTGACTTTTTCAATGGTAGATATGCAATGAGTGGAATAGAGATCAGCAGTGAATTCCAAAGGCATTTGCGAAACCATTTTGAATGAAGTGTCATCTGATGAAATTCTAATTGCAATTTTGAGATGCTCCCTTGAAATGACAAAATAAAAGTTACGATTAGGCGTCACCTTATCTAGCTAACTGATAATTATTCATACTTTGACTGAGGAAACGTATCTTAGGCTTCTAAACAATTGTGTGGCAGATCCCAATCTTCTTCACCTTTCCTGATTCCTTTGGAGAAATATGAGCCTTGTTGCATCAGGATTCAACGATGACCAGAAACTTTTCCAATGACTTCAGTGCTACATAGGGTAACAAAGATTGAGAATATGTAGTGTCTGTTATTACGTTAAGGCCATATACCTTATTCTAGCTTTTGGACAGCCCGTTCTATTCATTCTACTTGAGTCACATTCTGACCTTGTTAATTATTCGTTTATCAACCTTGACTGTTTTTATATGAGCGCGTAGATGTGTGTACACTTCTTATCCCATTATTCATCACATGTCTGTAACTTATTTTTGTGTGCCTATAAATATTGATTAATGCTTGGCTAAATGGGAGTTGGCTTAGCCGCCATCTTCACTGCGCGTCGTTTTGCTTCGTTCTATTTCATTTGCTTCATATACAAAATATATGTATTCACAAGTCCATTCTCGTTATTTGACTTATCTGAATCCGTTATTGACTAACGCGATTAAAGTCGATGATTATATACGAGGATAGGCGACATATATCTTTCAACAACAATCATTCATACAATTTCGTTACTATCATAGAGACTTGATGATTCAGGTTTCAAGTCACCATTCGCTTTAGACGGCAAAGTGATAAGAAGGCAGTGTCAATTAGGATTATCGGTCACAACTATAGAGGTTAGCTGTGGTTCAATATAGTACCAAGCTCTGTATAGACTGACAAAGCTCCAGAAGCATTTACCAACATTCATGCATTATTGGTGCCAAGTGGATCATTAGAAGGGCACCTTTAGCAGTGGGACTGGTAAATAAAGTATTAAAAAGCCTGTTTAGGTACGTGATAAGCCAAAAAATCACCATATATTAAAAAAAACTAACCTTTTATTCAGATGCCTTAATTTCTAGTGATATTTGGACCTAAACAGTATTCCTTCAAAAGGGTTAGGGTTCAGTGTTATTATGAAAAAAAGTGACTTGAAACCCACCAAATTTTAATTACGTTAGACTGCATTAGGCCTAGTACAGATCAGAAAGCATCCTCTTTAATCAGATGTTGTGAAAGCCGGTCTCCATCGGTAAGAGCTGAAAAAATTCACAGCAAAACACACTTTGATGTCGGTTGACATTGGTGAGCTAGTCACGTTACGAAATACAAAGACTATGGTCCCGACGAAGGGACACACTATACAGGAAGAAAATATGTGTCCAGTTCGCAGGAAACTGGCCAACGCCCGTTAAACAACAATCTGCTTAAAACCCATAAGATAGATTCCATTGTAAGGGAGCAACAGGTGGTACGACGAAACACCAAGGGCCTCTAAGAGGACTGTGAGATAAAACTGGAGAAATCAGAAAGATGCATTTTCAGTTAAATCTAAAGATCAGAGACCTAAATAATACTAGGCTATCGTCCGACATAATGAATAAAGAAGTGAGATGCAAGGCATGACACGTTTTAGATGCAATGGAATACAAAAACAGACGGAGTGCGAGTAAACACTAACAGTCACTCCAAAGTCGTATCACTAAACAGTGACGAATCAACCAAGGTGACTGAATCATGCTGGTGTTGCTTCAGTGCGAACGACACAAAGCATTTGACGGAAGGAATATAGCGGACCACAAAGGATCTAACACCCAAAGGGATGAGGTTTGGCCAATTACTACTAGATGGGGACTTTCACACCACTTCCTCAAATCCTAACAAGCAGGATGCAACTTCTAAGAAGTGGTTCCATAAGCGGCTTGCTGCATCCAGCTTACACCATGTTATGGTCTCACTTTTACCTGCTATGAGTTGTTCCCATCTGGAACACCCTCAAACGAAGTTAACCCGACCCCATCGGTGAATACCGTTAGGAGGAGACTTGACAAACAAATACGCACCGATGGATTACCGTCCCCTTCTTAGACCAGCTATGTCTAATGTGAGTCTCAGAAATTATTGCGGTTATGATTGAGAATATTATTAGGTACTACCTATGTCTTTGATTATCATCCCTGTTTCTCCTCTTAAACCTTCAACTCTATCTTCTCAAACAACACCAACTATTGACTTATATTTGATTCTTGAGACAATCGTCTTCTCTTAGCATTCGAATTATCACTTTATTATTTTCACGTTGCAACCATCAAAACTTTTGCTTCGTAATGTGATAGCTATTGGTACCCAAGAACCCTAATATCCCGAGAAAACCCACTCCCAAGAACTACGAGACATATAAACCCGCAAATAATTACAAAAGTGACCAGAACTTATGCAGTCGATCGACTTAACTACTGTAACAAGTGTAATCAGCAGTCACTGACAGGCGGGGAAGACCTGAAACCACAACACACAATGTTAACCGAGCACTTCACACCAAGAGAGAGAGGGAACGCTGGATGAAGCCACCAGTCGTTTATTTTAAAAGTTAAAATTCGCGGGTCATGTATGGAAGGGAGAGTTAGTTCACAAAACAGTCTTATGAGTCATCCTGTAGGTTCAGTGAATGCAGAGCTTGCTCTTCTTCTAAAGCGTTTATTCTTGGTTGCCCTGCAATAGAAAGAAAACAGGATCTATTAACAACATCATACATGATGATTTCAACCCAGTTAAACTACCTCCTATTGAAAATTACCGAATACCTGAAACTGTACTAATACAACTGGAAGTGAACCCAAAAAATCAGTCGGTTTATGCAAGCTCGTGACAATGATATTGGTAATGAGCAATTTAGATCTTTTAATGCACTGTCATTTTTGTTCTGTCAGATATTGTAAATACCTCGTATTTCGTAACCCAAGCACATTGTCGACTTTTTCGACGTTAGATGGATTATGTGTATATTTTAGCACCTATTGGGCTAGGTGTTATTTTGACTTTGTGCAGCACTGGATATTGCATTTATATTCATTATTCTAAACGCAGGCTCGTTGAGCGCATCAAAAAGGAGATGCTTGCAAAAATTATTAATGGTCCAGATGCTATTGTTTACAACACTCATTGGCGTAGTAATATAGAAACTGGGAAAACAAACTCTGTTGTGAGTTGCCCTAAACCTCCAGGTCATGTGATCGGTGTTGGAGGATCTCAAGTAGACATATACTCTCATCCTATACAATTGCGGACTGATGTCTTTGTCCAGAAAGTTGGAAGTGAAGTGTTTAGTTCGTTGACCAATGAAAGGTGAGTTAATATGTTGTATGATATGAATGCATTTTATCGTTTCAAGGAATATTTTGAAGTTTGTATGATTGAAACAGTTGATAGCATTAAAAAACATGCAAGTTAGCTTTTTTGACATGTGCTTGTCAGAGATACCTGACCCTCATAATTTTTCCGTTCAGAATATAACTTGAACTTTCTTCCAAGGGGCACACATCTAGATTTTATATCCCTTTGTTCTTATCGAACTGAAACTGAAATGCACGTTGTTGAAATGTTATTAATGTTTACATCTCCAACTAGAATATGTTGGTAAGTTCGATTCCACCAGTTTACCTAAACTGCATTATAAATTTCTTTATTGCCGAAATTTGAGAGAAAAAAGATGTCTGTCGAGTGAATGCAGGATGATTTTTATCTGTCAGTGAAGGCTAATAGTAAGTAGATGTCACCGTGTTAAATGCATCATTCAGAACAACTTGATAGTAAAAACCTAGAACGATGTATCACTGACTCAGTACGACTATTACTCGAATTCTTTTGCTTATGTATAATGACTGGCTGTGTTAAATCGAGCGGATGATAAACCAGACAATTATATTTAGTATTTATCTAACAGGAAAATTCAGGAACTACATATGTACTAGATCAAAGCTTCTAAATATTACGTTTACTTTTAGTTTATTTTTTGTGTAGAAAGAAAGTAAATGTTTTAACACCTGTTATTGAACATAAGAGGCACTTTTATGTAAATTTATCTGTTGATTACTGAAGTGTGCGAGGTATGTTTTCGACGAATGTGAACTCAGTATTACAGATCGCGTCGATAGATGTTTTCATTCATGATTTCATCATGTTGAGGTTGACAATTCCATAAAGATTTGAGTCAAGCCTTGACAAAACCATAAGGGTCTGTTTTTTGTAGAAGGTTGATTTTATCTTTCCTGATATAAATAAGCACTTCCATTATAGAGATTCACATATATCTTGGGGTCCGAGTTTTCGTGTATACCATTTATGTGACATAGCGCTTAACACATGGGCAAAAGATAGCTAGCTGCTTTACCTAGCTTTAAAGAGAAACAAAATCTTACGTGGATACAGATAAAGATGATTCAGATTTATAGGTTTGTTAACTGGGATCTTAAATCTTATTAGCATTTTAGTATACTGTAAGCATCTCATGTTTTGTTAGACATCAATATTGAGTTACTGAAGTGATATGAAGACTGGGTTAAAAATCAAGTTATATTAAGTCGTTCCCATCATCTTATCGATGAGAAATGAAAGAACAGTACATATTTCACCTCTTAAAGAGCATGTTATAGCTGGTAGCGATATAAGCATTTTGAAAGTCATAACGTGTTCTAAAGCAGCGTTCAGTATGTATTTAAATGTAAATGCTGGTAAAACAGTTACATTTTATATGGTTATCTCAAAATTAAACTGAGCTACAGTACTAACAGAATTTAAACAAACCCAGTTATAAACATGAGTGCTAAGACAAAGCTGGTGTTCGGAAAAAATGAGGATATAGATCTCGGATGAATAATGTAATTAAAAGACAAAATAGTCTTGAATATAAGTAACGACAAACACCCTATGCCACCTAGATACGTAAAAATGTGTGAGCATTGATTTGTATTCATTTTTGAGATTATTTTGCTTTGTAGACCATTGCAGTTACATCTTAGTAGCCCGTGTTTCAACCACCAATGCACAAATATGTATTTATTTATTCAGTTTTATTAATGGTCGTAAGATCTCATCCAAGGTTAAATTTAATAGTTTTTTACGATCCACTCCAAACTTCTTTATCAAATTCTAAAACCATCTATCCCTTTAGGCTGCAGGTTTTGAACGTACCTTATCGTGATTATAAACATGCCACACATTATGGCTCACCAAAGACCAAAAATTACACCACAAGTATACCAAGTCACAGAGCCGTGAAATCCGATGGTATATACGTGAACTGTCCATTTAAACCATCTCAAAAACCTGAGTCCAGCAAACATTATAACACAAGATACCAGTAAGTTAACGTGAATTAAGGATGGAAAATTGACATCAAATTCACGGTTCAACGTTTCAGAGGGTAAGCTAAAGAAAATAATTTTTCATAACGTTACTGCTTATTTATTGGATGGTGTGAAACAGAATTGACGTAACTTTGCTTCTTGTCATATTTAAAGAGTTAGGCTTTCTAAATTAAACTGACATAAAACGTTTACCTATTGCACCTACCAACCACTTTTTATTCAATTTACGACAAAAAGTGACAAAACAGAATTTAGGCAACTCTCTAATCAGGAAGCATCTCCCTAATTTTGTTTCACGAGACAAAATTAATCACTTAATTGGAACAATTGACATTAGAATTCATCCCCATCACTTATGAAAGTTTGGGGATTCAACTGGCTGAGTTATTTCTTCCATGACATCCAAAAACAGAGGCTTAAACATAGCTTTAACGAAGAAAGATCTACTTTAATAAATTCAATATATTCAGAAAATGGTTGTGCAGCTACTCTTTCTGTACTATGATCATCCAAATAATATAAAATTTACCTTTCAATTTGTTATCTTTATTGTTATGCAGCTATTTCCAATAATTAACAAGTTGCTTGTCCAAAAACTCATATACATATTCTCGATTTTCATTCTTATTTAATCAACCTTATCAATCAACATATCAAACCTTCCTTTTTGCCTTTATCTCCTCTTATTATTATTGCTATTTGATAGATCAAACTATGAACTGATCTTAGCTAGAACATTATTAAATTCTACGAGGAGTTAGAAAGCTGTTTTGTCCTGTCATGAGACTGGATGATAGTGCTAATCGACGACCCCAATAAAGGGGGTCAAACTTAGGACCTTTAGTCTCGCGCACAAATGTTCAACCAGTAGACCATTAAACTGGCAGTCTTTGATACACCTGACCGACTTCAACCAATTCCTGATACTGAGCAACCATACCCTAAAGTTAGGCTAATTACTACAATTTGATTTGTATTTTTCGAATGTAAAATTATATATTCATGTCAAGGTATGATGAAGAGCCAAAACTTCAAAATATGTTTTTGACGTTCGACCTATATTTTTAAGAATACTTTTTTATTTAATAAGATGCTTTGGAGTGTCAAGTTTATCATCAAAAAATGTTCGTAAGGAAGTCCATGTAAAAAAGTATGCTGCAAAATATACTTAAGTAATATTTCATTATTTTGTTAAACGGGAAAGTATTGTTTCATGAATATCGAAAAAACAAACGGGATATTCTCAGATATATGAAGTATACTTAAAAACCTTATTACCTGTTTTTGGATGTTCATTTCATCAGCTGCGTGTTTTAGTCGTGAAATTATCATTGCCTTTCTAAAAAGAGTCAGTGATTTATGTTGATTAATTCATTCAAATTAGATAATGAAACTTCATCAAATTCATATGCTTGAACAACAAATTTCCCTTACCTGTTCACTACCTTATTTGATTTGATTAATCTTAAGATAGATGATTTTAGTCTTTTATGGATTAAAATTTAGCTTGTAAGCTATTCTTAAAATGTTGTTACTTACTTACTTGCTTACGTAAGTTACTCCTCATGGAGGAGCATAGGCTGCTCACCAGCACTTGCCATCCAACCCTGTCCTGGGCAATCCTTTCCAGCTCTTTCCAGTTGTTACTCATCCTTTTCATATTTGCCTCTATTTCCCGACGTAATGTGTTCTTTGACCTTCCTTTTTTCCACTTCCCTTCAGGATTCCACATTAGGGCTTGCCTCGTGATGTAGTTTGATGATTTGCGTAATGTTGTTAATACAGTATTTAAATTACTGACTAAAAGCTTGATCTATGTAAGCTCATTCAAATATTTATTACATACATAAGTTGTATTACATTATAAAACATTTCTATTTATATGAAATCTGTTGAAATAATACGGATTTATATATTGGCTGGACTGTTAATAAAGTTTACAGTTCAAGGAGTTTGATTGAATCTTTCCAGTGATATCAAACATTTCTGTCGATCAGTCTATTTTAGTATATGTATGTCATGAGTGAATTAATTCAATATTACCATTGAACTACAAGCATTTCTATCCAAAGTTGAATAATGATTAGTAGTGGAATGCGGAAATCTCGTATCGTTTCTTCTTACAAGCTACTAATTCTCTTAAATCAGTGGCTAATTGGTTAGTGAGTTAGCCATTTGAATAGAAACGTACAGGATTAGAGTATCAGTGCGAACATTATCAAGATTACAAATAAATCCAACTGACAAGTTTCAGACAGAATGCAACACTTGTCCTAGATTTTACTTCTAGCCACTAACTAACTTTATTTGCTAAATTAATCACAACTCTTTTCTCACAATTTTAAATAATACTAAACAAACATCCAAGATGTATGAAATTAATGAAATTCCATAATAATGATAATGGTAATGTTGTTCGGAATAGATAATTTGCAAGAATACGTAGTCACTTTAAATGCATTGCAGTATTTATGGTTATTAATCATAGCTGAATTTTAACAAAATATCCATTTATTTGAGCTGTTAGCATATATTTAATGTTGGTTAAGAAGAGCCAAATGTACAAAGTTATAACTTTAAACTTCACAGTAAATATGCCTAATTAACTACCATAAACGTTAAACATGAACTTTTCGATTTAATGATTCAATATGTTTTTTTTAAACTGATACGACTTATTCATTTTTATATTGCTTGTTTGAATCTTCCAATTGATGTTTAAGACTGCAATTGATCAGTCTCTTATTAGCATATGTGCATCCTGTGCGAATCGCTTCAATATCGACTTCAGTCACAAGCATTACAAGCAAAGATGGATGGTGGCTAACATTGGATTACAGGACGCGTGTTTCGTCCTATTTTTGGGACTCATCATATGAATGTGTCTGCATTCCAGATTTGATGTTCACAGTAGATAAATGGATAACGCGATGGTGTTTGGAGCGAACAGTAATGAGTTCATGTCCCGGAGTGAATATCAACTTTGAAATGTAGGTACATCCAGTGGACGAATCCCAAAATTAGGACGAAACAAGCGTCCTGGATTCTACTGTTAGCCACCATCCATTTCTGCTTTTGATAGGATTTATATTCAAAGTTTTCATTTTATTATGATAGTAGCACAACTCATTCACCAAGTACATATTTTTTTGAATCCATTATTAAACGATACTTTGATTGTAAGGTCAATCACTGATTCACGATAACAATGAGTTTTTCCCACTTTTTTTAATAATCATTATAAAGTTCTTATTACGTAACAACTATTTAACCTTACCTAAAGACTCATGGAACGTTTGCACTTGTCACTTTTAGAAACTAACCTTAAAACACATCTCTTTAGCTAATTAAATAAATTACAATCCGATGGTTAGAGACCCTGAATGACATGGCTCAAAATCGTTCGCAATGGGGCAGGTGCATACACTCTCTGTGTTCTCTCAAATTTTATTCGCCTCATTCCTTCTTGTCTCTTTTTTCTCTTCCCAAATTTATTTCACTGTATTATACTCTTTAAATAACATTTCCAAACCCTAATCTTCCCGATTACTGCTTATACTCGTACTACCTCTACCACTACGAGATTTGAATTGACAACTGCATCTCTGTGCTAATGTGGTATGGCAACTCGAACTGATGTACGTACGTACGAAGTTCTATGTTGTTACTGACTGACAGTCCACTAGCCTGAATTTTTATAAATTAAGTCTCCTACTCATTTGAAAACTGTTACAATAGTTTGGAGATTGATAGAGGTTAAAAGATGATTGAGTAGTGTAAAATGTCTCTTTAAGTCGTCCTGATTTTGATGGAAACTATTTTCAAAGTCAATCCATCAAAAGTTACATAAATGTTTGATTGTAAAATTTGTAAACAAAAAAATCTAATTACATGCGTATATCTATGACATTTCAATGGTAGAAAAATATATCAGGTAATAACTATGGTGGTGATAGTTCGAAAGCCACACACCACCTAATTCTATTTGATTGACCTAATATTATCAATAATCTTCAAGCAAAAATATTTCTTATTACATAACTAACTACACTAACCTGAGCTGATTTATAGAATTGGCCGTTTCTTTTTGTTGTTGTGCGAATACCCTCGGTATAGTAAAATCTTTCTTTGGCTACATTCTATTAACATGAAAAAACACATAAGAAACTAATCAATTTTGTTTGTTTTTCATTTGTTCAAATTTTTCAGGTCGTCTTCATTGTTATTCATATTTCTTTATTTATGTATGAATCAACTGCTCATTTTTCCAATACAATAACTAATGCATTGAATAACAAAGTTGGACAAGCCTTTTTTTTAAAAGATTGAAATAGGTATATATGAATGCATTTCATTTCATAAAATTGCTTTGAATTGTATATATTACACATGAGAATTATGAGTGAGATTATAATTTAATGGACGAACCAATCAGGAATAATATAAAAAGTGTCGGATTTTGAAGCGAAATTCACTTATCCATTTGGCTAACTAGTGTCTTTGCATTATAGCTGATGTCAATTTGTGATGAAACACCCAAAAATCTAATTCCTAACCTTTAATCATCAACTGTAAATCACAATTCTTATTCTTCATACTGGTTTATAACTCTCATTTGATCCTAGTTATTAGATGAATACTCTAAAGATCACTTTAGCATCTCTCATAGATCGTCCATAAATTATAATCTCATTGAATTATGTTAATAAAATTAATTTATCAGTTCATTATTCAATATTTCCTTTTGTTTTATTATGTGCACATTTTGAAAAAAAATTTTTTTGTTTGTTTTTGCACTGATTGCATTTTTCAATTGTTTACATTTGATGAATCCATTTTCTATTACTTTTCACATATAATACATAAACTTTCTTATTTGTTATGCATTTCTAGTTGTTGTTGTTGTTGTTGGTGGTGGTTGTTAGTTCCACTTAATGATTTTAATTTATAATATTTATGTTTATTTATTTTTTATTTTTTTTTATTTTCCTTTGTTGGTGTATAAAATGGGATAAGTAAATTTTGTTTTTAATCACTAAGCCTAAATTGATAAAAAACAACAAATTACTGATTATGTAATTAATGATTTTTTCTTTCCTATTATTGATTTTTAATTTCTGAACTCATTGAATGTCATCTGTTTGTAATTATGTTGAATAAAGTATTATCTCACCTTAATCTGGTTCTTTATATTTGGTTATGAATTATTGTTATACCTTTGATTTATTAACCCACTGTTATATTCGGTCGTCGCAATTATTGTACCGGAAAAACGCTGATCGCTTATACTCGGAACAAGGGATCTCGGCAATTCCCACGATGCGAAAGTAAGAACACAAAACTGGTATAAGTGAAGATTTATTAGCCCCAAACACTATAACGACGACGAATCAAAATAGTCTAAAATACACTGGTTTATATATTGATTGTTCACCCATTTTGATTAATAATTAGGATTAAATCACATACTCAGTTATAATAAATCACTTACTAAGCATAGTTCATGTCAATGGAATACAAGAATATCGTATATTATACAGAAGAAAACATCATACTGGAAAAAAATCAAATACTGCACTGAATGATCCTCACGTTGAATCAAACGGATGCAATGTTATATAAAACTCATAATGAGTAAATCAATCGAAAACTGACTTTTCTTTCCATCATTTCACCCACTAGTTTTTCAATAGTTGAAATCATAAGCCAATTGAAGCTAGATCACCATGGAAAACCTGGAAGCACTGAACGGTCGTTTCGTCTTAGTATGGAACTCCTCAGCAGTGCGTATCCACGATCCTGCCTTCCGCGAGATTCGAAACCAGGACCTATCAATCTCGCGCGCGAGCGCTTAACCATTTGAACACCAGTTTTTGTTTAATGTAGACAGGGGTAATTGTCTCAATCTAGTTTGGGGTTTTAATGGTGATGAATATCATTAAACGACCGGCCATCTTTGTAATTTTGTTTAAATAGTTTTTTTTCATCCCATTTTCCAATATTTTTCATTCCGTTTCGTTCAATTAAATGGTTAGTTTTAAATTTGTTATAATTGATCAGTTATGTCTTAAAATTGTTATAAAATGTCAGTACTTGTCGACAGAGTACATTTTCTTCAAATTATGGAGGATAGTAACATACTAAGTACAAACTCTATCGTTTCTCACGTTGTCAAAGAAACGGAGAACATATTGTTGAATACATTGTATCTCGTAGCGTTCCAATCAATTGAAGCGTTAAAGAGCGCCATCAGAACTTGTGAAAGATCTACGATGTGATAAATTATTTAGTATAATCTTGAGATTTACAGCTCATGAGTTGGATTAATGAGTGAATAGCTTTGATGTTAGAGAGATGAAAACTTTTCAACCCTTTAGATTATTAAGCTAACAGAGAAAAAATAACTTACTTGGAACTATTATCCGATTGATTCTCGATTCCAAATTAACTCAAAAAGTCATATGAATTAAGTCAGTCAGCTATAGCGTAGGACCAGGCACATTTATGCATCGGTCCAAGTTGCCATACCTCACTGGCACAACAAGATGAACACCGGATTCATAGAAGTAGTTAATTCAGAGGTGGTAATATATAAAAGAAAGATTGCAATAAGGATATAGTACACGAAGAAAGAATTAGTTCGTACAATGAAAGATATGAAGCGATTTTAATCGCTTAGCTTAAGAGAAGACAGAGCGTGTATGCACCGACGCCATTGTGATCGATTCTGAGCCATGTCACCCAGAGTCTCCAACCATTGGTTACGATAGTCACGCGGACCCCAACCAAGTAGTCTGCATCTGCATGAATAAAGTATAGCTAACAGGATCGTAACGCACAAGAATTGAGAAAATTATAATCATTGTCTAAAGTAGGACATTAGAGTAGAAAAGTGGAATCTAAAGGACATTTTTTAAATTACAATAAATGTAAGATAGAAAAGAATATAACATCAGTCTATACATTAAACTAAAGTTTGTGATTCATTTAATAAAATAAGACTTAAATTAAGTGTTAGTACACTCCAGATTCTTAATAAAGCTAGACAGTGTGCGAAAAAGTAACTTTGGTCGTTTGTCGTTGCTTTGTTATTTCTCTTTTCACATCATTTTTGTATCTGGTATAACATGGTTATAGCTTATCTACTGAGTATCAAGTCTAATGGGGATATCATCTTGATCATCAGTTGTATTATTGTATTACAGTAATTTAACGTTGCAAATAGAAAATAATTTTACTCTATCGTTATATCAACTTCATGGAGGTGAATTGAACAAATGAATCAGAGGTTGAACGTTGAACACTTCAGTTACAGGCACCATATTTGGATCTAATCGTTTATTGTGTTACATTAAAAAAGAAATCAAGCATGGTAAATCCCTTAGTATATCATATTTCAGTCGTCATCATCATCAGTCTTTAGGTACATAATTGTTGAAGTAATTAACTTTCCGTCATCATGTTGAAAGTTTGAAACTCATTATCACTATTTCGGTTTCAAATGCTAACCAGTATCAATAACTCTTTTACTGAAGATTGTATGACATAACCGAGTGTTCGACTTTCTATTTGATCACCTAATTACATTATTAATTGTGTTGTACTATACGTTACTTTAACTAAAACTATTTCAGATAATCTAATTAAGTATACTTCTACATTGATTGATTACTCAGCAGTGACTAATATGGTATTTGTCTAGTCTATAGTGATGATCAAGTTCTACCGATAGATTTGTAGTGTTGTAGTAGGTTGGTTTCAAGACAATCCCTTAGGCTTTGCATATCGATCGCCCTGATAACTATTATTAAGTCCCATCGGCACGTGAATTCAGGAAACAATACGAAGTGCCGACCACAGTTTACTATTGAATGACATAGATCACTAAGCCACAAGCACGCCAAGCGAATTGGTTCAGAAAAGTGAGTGAGTGAATATGCAGGCCGATGGAGAGCCGAATCAGTTATTAAGATTCAAGCACATACATATACATGGTAAAGTGATGCAAAGCTGAGATCGCCGTTGCCAAAGTAGTAAATGAAACGAGGCGGAGGAGGCAAGTGAGCCAACTTAGTTACATAAAGCGTGACTTAATATTTATAACCAGATAAAAATAAGCTGCAGACATGTGATGAATAGGATAAGCAACATACACACATTCGCTCATGTCAAAATATTCAAAATTAATAAGCGAATAATCGGCAAGGTCAAAATGTGACTCAAGAATAATGAGTAAACTGATCTATCCGGAAGCTAGAATAACCCATGTATACTTGATATAGCACTGAACAATACAATGTAATGATTAGTATCGCTGAGTTGATATCATACGAATTGCGTTTTGATGGTAGATAGTTAGAGACAATCAGTAGGAAACCTCGTTCGATCTAACTTTCTTACCAGTTCGTACTTGTTAGCAGGTCTGTTAGCTTACCTGCAAGTTGTGGGAACTATTGCTTCTCATGTGATTCAAACACCTCGTACAGCTTTACAGTTTCATGTTACCATTGACGTATTCGTGTTACAAGAGATCTCTCGCTTAACTGTGATATTTACACAAGCTAATCACTAAGTAGTGACTTGAGAATGTTACTAATAGATGACAGATTGTTAGCTTTCTTTTTTAAAAGGGAGTAGTGAATCACTTCTTACTGCTTCATCATACAAAAATGATGTTATATGACGTAATGGAAATATAATTAATGTGTATAATTAATATTGGTCCAATCCTTTAGGCAATTATCGTTATGACTTTGTTACATCCACTATAACTATGTCCACTAATACTGTTACTGTATAAATACCAACGATCAATAGTTCGTGCCAAATTCTTACTCTTTATTAATCTGAGAATTAGAATACTGGAAAAGTCTACCAGTTAACTCTTATTATTCCATTTTGTTCAAACTTAAAATTTCACATGATCGTACAGACAAATTTCAGGACTATAATAAAAACTATCGGTAATAAATATCGAAATGCGCACAACTAAGACATTTGTGTTACAAATCTGAATTGCAGGTATATGAGTAATTTGCCAAAATATATGGAAAATAAAAGTTTTGGCAACAGTTAATAAATCAAACAAAAGTTTACAATTAAGATAATATTTAAAAAAACATACCATAAACCGACTGTTTCACAAAGTGTTATAAATTGTGATCGCCGATTAGAGAGCAGTGAATTGTCGGTCGGACCAAGGACGCGTAAACACGTGCGAGCAGCCTAGAGTCCTGATTGGTCCTGCCTTCAGCTTAGCCCAGCCAAATAAGTCCAGAACACCAATCTCAGCCTCTGTGATATGAATCACTATATTTCAAACATACTGAGTTTATATACCAATCAAACAGACCACAACGTACCAATAATAAAATATGAAACAACATTTGTACAAGAATTAGCCAGATGTGGCTGTGAATAAGGGAGGTAGTAATTAATATGCTGGGTATAACTCAAGAATGGTGAAACGTTTATGGGTCAAAATGAAGCTTATAATAAGAGGAATATGAATATGCATAGTTTAGTTACTTACTAATTATACAATAGAAATATACGTTTAGTATTAGTCCATCAATAGATCCCAAAAGTTGCCATTCATTATTCTTGTCGGGACATAACACAAATACACATGATAAATATATTTACTGAATCCCTAATGAATATCTTTTAAAGTTTCCGATCTTTGTTTATTCGCTTAACTGTAATATGTAGTTGATAACAGCTAAAATGACGAGATAAATAATTCAGTTGATAGTAGTAATTTATATGATAAGCAACAAAATAGTTATTTAGCAAGAAAGTTTGAACAGATTCAATTTGTTGATTATTAAAGTAGAAGTCTGTATTTTACAATCTATGTTAGCACTTGTCTCACACCTAACATGATGTGATGTTCAGCATTCCTACACTTGGACGAAATAGATATTCAGTTGGTCCTTGTTTTCATCAACTGCCTGACTAAAGTTAGTCATTTGTGTAAAACGTCAAAATTAAGACTTTTTGTAAGTTAGGACTGAAATTGATCAGTCTCTTATTGGCAGATGTGCATACTGTGCGTATGTCTCAATATTACCTTAATTTACAAGTATTATAAGCAAAGATGGATAGTGGCTAGCATCATCAATGGGAAGATTCAAGTAAAACAATAGCAAGTGAATTAAATTTCACCCCATTGCACAAGCAAGTAGCTATCAGGACTCAGCAGGTGAGTGGATAACGCGATGGCGTTTGAAGCAAACGGTACTGAGTTCGAGTCCAAGAGTGAACATCAACTCTGAGATGCAGGTACATCCAGCTGACGAGTCCCAAACAGGACGAAACGCGCGTCCTGGATTCCGGTGCGAGCCACTATCTTTGCTTATAATGCTTGTAAATTAAGGCAGTATTGAGGCGTATGCACAGTATGCACATATGCCAATTAGAGACTGATCAATTTCAGTCGTAAAGCATCAATGGGAAGATTCAAGTAAAACAACACCAAGTGAATTTTTGTTAGTTAGTTTAAACAAACTTTTATTTTAGTTCATTTGCTTATCATTTCATTAGCACTAGTATAGATCACCCTAAAATAGAAAGGAAATTTATCAGTTTAGAATGACAGTTAATATAATTAACAGTAATAAATGTCGAGTTACTAATCAAAAAGTGTCCACTTGTCGAAATAATTTTTATAAATCTGCTGCTCAGTTGGTATTGATTGAAAAGTCTAAGGCCATGATTCCTAATACACCCAAACAATGCACTAATGATTACGTCACATCCCACTGTATTTACCAATTTACGTGTTTGTGTGGACATACATACATAGGGAGGAGTAATCGAACAATGCAATCAAGGGTCAATGAACATGTGCCCAGATGGCTTCAAAATCAGTGTGTGTCAAATGATCCGATTAATGTAGGAGGTAGAAAACCAAGTTCATCGATAGCAAAACACATAATTGAGACGGGACACAAAATTAACATTAATACAGCATTTAGAACGTTGTATAGAAATTGTCAAGGTCGAATTCTTAAGTTTATTGAAGCCTTAGCTATTCGTAAATTTAAACCCCCCTTATGTGTACAAAAACAATTTGTCGTAACCTTGAATTTACCTTGGTAATCCTTAAGTCATTCTATGGCCTAGGATAACGCGACAAATTCTTATTCTTTCTCCCCCCTTAGTTATTTTAATTGTACTTTTATTTGTTTGACCTTTATTAATTGACCTTTATTAATTTTCATATAAAAATGCCTTGACAAGTATATGTGTGACCAGATTGTTCGAAATGTATGGCGCAAATACATCACATTTTTCAGATCAACTCCGTCTTCTTATTGTTCTATCGAAATCTTTATTACTACTTTAAGTAGGCAAATTAGTTAATCTAAAATTATCAGAATAAGTATTTGTGGAGATGGGCATTTCAATAGTTGGATTCATGAGTCGATCTAAACTAGATCACAATTGGAAGCCTGGAAGCAATGGACGGCCATTTCGTCCAAGTATGGGGCTCCTCAACAGTGCACATTCACGATTTCGCACGTGGGACTCGGTCTCTGGACCGCTCACGAAAACGAAAGTTCAGGATTCGAGTTCCACATGCGGGTTTGTGGATATGCATTGCTGAGGAGCCCCATACTTGGACGAAATGGTCATACAGTGCTTCTAGGCTTTCAATGGTGGTTTAAGTTAGTTCGACTCACGAATCCAACTATTATAATTTAAAATTACATGACTTTTGGTTTCCTGCAGTCCTGTGGAAACAGTACGACGGTAAACATATGTCCGTAAGGTTTCTTCATACCTAATTTTTGTTTAAGTGGTCGATAATATGCTGTTTCTCGACAAGACATCTATTATTTTAATTTAGTTTACAAGTCCAGCTCTTCAGGGAATTAATCTTGTACTACTATGCTACGAAATTTCAATCAGAGATTCATCTCTCCTTAGTTTAGTTGCTTGGAATAAATTAAAATGACTGAAAAATTGATTAGGTGTAATTAGAGTCATTATAAATCGCTATGAGTGTAAATAACTAGGGGGTTTTGGGTTGATAGTGGTTACTGAAATAATAAAGTTGTTAATTAAATGAAAATATATTTAAGTTCTAGATAGTTTAAAAGTATATTTAGTTAGAAAAGATTTCAATTTGTATGGGGTTGTGAACATCGTTGAATTACATTGAAATCATAAACTGATCAAAGTTAGACAACTATCAAACCCCTGGAAGCACCGGACAGTCGTTTCCTCCGGGTATGGAATAACGTAGCTCTGTACATCCACAACCCTGCAACCGAGAATCGAATCCAGTGGTGTAAACGTCTAGTTCTAATCAGTTTGTGATAGTAAGTGAGACTGAAGGCTCTGGGTTTGATTCCCGGTTTCAGGGTAGCAGGCGCCCACTAGTGAATTATCTCATACTTGAGCGAAACGGCTATTCAGGGTTTCCTTAATTTTAATTATTGTCAAATTTTGATCGGTTAGTGATTTCAATGCGATTTCAGACTCTAAAGCATTTTTGATTGGATTGTTGGGGTGTTATCTAATTCTTTCAAGATGTTTGTTTGTTATCATTCACATTCTTTAGTTCGATATCTTTTGTCTCTCAAGTTTTAAAACATTTTGCCTTGTTAGAAACTATATCTTTTATACAGCGTATGCATTGTTTTCGTTCTAGTAACTCTATGTCTTGCCAAAATGAATTAGAGAGTTCAATAGACTCTTTTTAGATATTCATTGCTGAGCTACTGTAAATTAGGTCTAAATAACTATCAAACGCTGTTTGACTTCTGGTTTTTCATCTGAAATAATTCTGTATAAAGTATTCAAATTTGATGGTCTTTTTCCTAGGAATTTTAAATTTAAATATGTTCACTTTCCACATCATGAGTCCGTGAATTATAAACTTTGTCTATGAAACTGTGGTGTGCTACTAATCTTGACAGATATAAGTAGTATGTAACATCAATCAAAAGTGAAATACCTGGAGGCATAAGGTTATGAAGATCAAGGACGTGAGAACGAAAACAAAGAATGATTGTTGTGGGATCGAAAAAGCAATGAAGTCCGAGACGATTGACTGATATTTGCAAAAGGAACAATCAAGTTTGAGACAATTGATTGACATTTTGCAAATAAATAATTTACCGTATGGTTCTCAGATTTTACTAAGATGTTCTGTAATTTTGCATCTAAAATACATTTCATTGTCCCCACTTGTGTTTTTATTCACTACAAAACTATTTATTATATTAAATTCAATTGGTATTGTTTACTTGAATCTTCCCATTGATGTTTAGGACTGCAATAGGTCAGTCTCTTATTGGCAACTGTTCATACTGTGCGTAATGCCTTAATTCACGCATTAATGCGTAATAGATAATGGTTAGCAGTGGAATCTAGTTTGACGCGCGTTTCATCCTATTTGGGCAATACGCACAATATGCACAGTTGCCATTCAGAGACTGATCAATTGCAGCCCTAAACATCAATGAGAAGATTTAAGTAAAGAATATCAAGTGAATTTAAACTTAAAACCATTATACAAGCAAATAGCTATCAGGACTCAGTAACTAAGTGGATGGCGTAATGACTTTTGAAGCGAACGGTACTGGGTTTGAGTTTCAGAGTGAAAATCAAGATGCAAGTACATCTGTCTGATGAGTCTCAAATGGGACGAAACGTGCGTCCTCGGTTCTACTGCTTATAATATTTATTATATTGCATAATGCTCATTAAATAATTGAGTCCGTTCAGGATGAAACGATGTATGAACTAAATCTTCACGTAATTAGATAAAGATGTGTTAATAAATCAATTTTTGGACTTTGGAAATCTTCATCGAATATTGAATTGAATCAATAAAAAAGTCTGATCAATCAGAAATAATTGAAATGAAAATAAATCATAACAGTTCAAAGATTGAGATCATTTTGATATACATAGATTAAGAGATTTTAATTTATTAATTTATAATTAAATTGTATTGCGTAATTTATAAACGTTTGATCATTATTTACATTAACTAAACGAAGGTATTAAGTAAGTCTCATTCTATTCATTTGCATTATTATAATGATCAGTAATGAATAGATTTTTCCAAATTGAACTCTCTTTCATCCAGATTATGATAGATTTATAACTGTCGTAAATGAAAAAGAAAAGAAAAGTGTTGCATCAGTTTGAGATTGATAAGTAGAAACGATTGTGGTGGGTTTGTTTTTGTTAATCAATTACCTCGATAACTGTTATGATATAAATCTCAATGCTGTTTGAAATCAGAAGGTAATGAGAAGCAGCGACTACAGTTTATTTTGGTTAAGACTTTTTATTAACTTACTTAACAGACAATGTTATTAGAACATTAACAATTCGTCTATTTCTTTTTACCGTTATGATAACTAGATCACATGACAGACTCGAGCTAAAATGTTGATCGGTTTAATATCACTCGATGATTCATCCTCCTCCTCCTCGTGTATATATGTACTCAAATCCTATTATTAGTCTTTGCTTTGCCTTACTGAGCCCTTGTGCAGTTTGACTATAAATTTGCCTATGTATTCGCTCATATACACATATTCGCCTCTCTGTTTCAAATGAGCTTGGTGTGCTTATAGCTTTGTGATCTGCGCTATCAGCTAAGAAACTGTATTTGCTGCTTCTCATTACCTTCTGATTTCAAACAGTGTTGAGATTTATATCATAACAGTTATCGAGGTAATTGATTAACAAAGCAAAGCCATTACATTAGTACTGAACAATATACATATATATTTATAAACATTTTTCATGAAATATATTGTACATTTTCATATTTATACTCCTGAATGTGAGGATCCAACTAGTATCATAGGCTAGACAACATGGTATAGGTTACTACATTTTGAGTTGTATATTTAAATATCTTAGTCATCAACTGCCACTTCAACAGCTAAATAGGGATATCATCGTTTAGCTCATTCTTTTATTGATTAAAGTGCTCTAGAAAATAGTACGACTTAGATATCAAGTTAATAATAACAGTTGAAGCGAAGACTTCATTTTAAATAGCTTTAAATGTCACATTTATAATGGGTAAATATTATGTATTATGCTCAAAAACTAACGTTGTGTTATAACTCACGCGACAACCATCTTTCTTTTTTACCTGACCATGGAATCTAACATTTTGTGTTAATAATCAAAATGTAGTAGTAGTAGTAGTAGTAGTTACTGACTAGAATAAAGGATTATACTTTCAATACAAACAAGATTAGTTATTGCTTGTATATTTTAAGTCCTACAATGGTAAATTAATAGTTATTGAATTCTAATTCCCGACATAAGGCATTGCGGTCGATCAAAAATTGTATAAGTGTGACAATGAAGTTATTACGTCCAAAGTTAATGTTATAATATACTAATTATAATTTATAAAGTTATGGGACGTTACTTAAATTGGAAGGTTTTGGTGTGTTCGGATTGTATTTGGTACCATAATCCACAATTATAGATAATCAATAATTCCAATGAGGTTTTTGTGATTCCAGTCATATAGCCAAACATAGAATATAATGGAAATATGACTGTAGTCTATAAATGTAGATAATAGATATTTCAGAGTTCAGTTATCATAACCACAGGCAATAGAGAACAAGAGATATGTGTGCAATAGTGTATTTACGAGCAGTTAACAATGTGTATTATGCTATGAGCGATTCAAAATGGAAGAGTGAGTTCAAGCTCATGCACTTCAACAACTTTCACAATCATTTCGTAATAAATGTACAAACTGTGAAAATGAACAAAATAAATGTAAATCATATCAAAAACTATTTAGAAAAATTAGTCTATCTGAAGTTTATACTAATGATGTCGTTCAGAAGAACAATGAAAGCTTAACAACTAAACCATCCAGCTCAGAGAATAAAACTCCATCAACAAAATAAGTTTGTCGTGTTTATCTCCACAGCATACATCCATGATTTTTAATTGATTTAGTTAATGTATTACGTCAAAAATATTTAATGGTACATTGAATAACGTTTAACTTCATGTGAATTGTTAGTGTTTTTTTAGCGAGTTAGTTTTCTACGGGATTGGGTTGCTAACCCCATGCCCAACCCTCCTCCTTCATCCAGGCTTAGGACCGTCAGTAGCTCCCGGAGGGACCCCAGGCGGGAAAAAATAAACCAGATCACAGCGGAGGAAGAAATTAGGAAGAAGTGCTGGAAGTGGATAGGACACACATTGAGGAAAGTACCCAACTGAGTCACAAGACAAGCTCTAACATGGAATCCTCAAGGTCAAAGGAAAAGAGGAAAACCAAAGAACATATTACACCGGGAAATGGAGGAAGACATGAGAAAAATAAACAAGAATTGGATGGAATTAGGAAAGAAGGCCCAAGACAGAGTGGGTTGGAGAATGCTGGTCGGCTGCTCATACTTCATTAGGAGTAACAGGCGTAATCAATCAATCAATCATGTAAATTGTATAGTTGAAAGGTTATATATGTGATAAGGGAAAAGAAAAATCACAGCATGGTAGTAGGTTATTATATTCTATTCGATGATATATGGTATGTATTCCCCAGTGACAGTCAGTTAGAATTCAATTTACCATCCAGCTAATTCCTATATATATATAAAGCCTATTATGCCTCAGTTTTCTATTGTTTTTCTTCTTCTTTTCAAGTATTCAGTGACAAAATGCTCATGAATTTAGAATACCAAACAAAACAAAAGCAATTTGACAAACAGTAAATACATACATTCTATATTACTATATATGTATCGCTAGTAATCATAGTAATAATAGTCATGATGGTATACACAATGAAGGAGCAGATCGGAAACGTTTTTATATCAAGGTAACATATATTTTTTTCAATGTACTCACATTGATCCATTAATGATTGGATAAGTAAAAGTAATATTGTTGTCTTTCTATTTATTTCTTCTAGGTTCTTATTGTATTTCTTTCTCAAGTATTTCTATTGAATTTAGTATTCTACATCTTTGATTATATGTAAGTGCCATTTGAATTAACAAAGAATGAATCTATTGAATTGTCAATTTATTTTAGGCCAGTATTAAATCAATGGATTGGACAACATATATGGTCAATGTATTTGTTATGGTATGAATGATTGGATTGTTTTGTTTAACTTTAGTTATACTTGATAGACTATCTGATCATAATTCAGATCCTTGACGAGGGTGATATAATAGAATCTGACAACAGTGACTGTTAAGCTCTCAATACAATTTACCTTGATTATTTGAATACATGAAGTTAATTATTGATAAAAGAGATGTTATTAGTCTGAATGTAAAGTAAATTTGTTTGAATGGAAATGTATGCATAGAAAAGATCAGTGAATGAGAATGGTGTAGAAATAAGCATTCGTCGTGCATGGCAGTCATGTACTTTTGGCTAGTTAAATTCAATAAGACCAAATAGGTTGATAACAAATGTTGAGTATCTACGGAAATATTTTTTTCTAATTAGTGATTTACCACAATTAACTCTTACTACGAACATCAAATTCAGCAAAATCGAAGATAGATTTTACTGTCGAGTATCATCTAGCACTAAATTTATTATCTACGGTCTTCTACTGATTGCCAACATGAAAGAACATCGCAATGCTGACTAATATGTTTATTTTATTTATTTATTTAAACACATAAATATTGGCACAAACGGGCACCGAATACATATGCACCACACAAGTTACTTGATTCGTATATGAGCTGTGATATCACTAGGGTGCCGAAACCGAAACAGGTGGTTTTCCCATGAGCCACAACCTGAGCCTTCGACCTAAAAGTCTTATCGACAAGACAGTGGAGTAACGTTAGGAGATGCAATCCCATGAGAGACGGTGACCGACAATTGGTTCATACGCGTTTTATTCCCATGTACAAAACTGGTTTAGAATCAAGGTTTTCCAACCCCCCTCAACTGGATCCTCCATATCCACCAACCCAGTTAAAGCGACGGACATCCGCTTTTCGTGCTCTGGATTTCGTAAACAACACCCCCGTCGCAAGAAGGCAAGGTGATCACATTCTAAATTGATCAATATAATTAGATCAAGGCTAAGGACAAGAGGATGTGACATTAATTAGTACTCAGTAATCAATTTATTTAATGATTTATTCATAGTAATAACTAGAAATCCGTATTATTTCAGTTCATAATTTATTGTTTGTGAGTTATTGTCGTGTTTGAGAAACTGAGCATCACCAATATTTCTAATTCCTCAGTATTTTGTTTTTGTTCTGTCTACACGAGAGAAAAAAATGTAATTATTTAGCTAGAAAATTCATTAACGTCCCTCCTACTTTTTGGTAGTGATTTATCAAGTCAGTCAGTCATTAACAACGTAGAACTTCGTACGTACGTACATCAGTTCGAGTTGCCATACCACATTAGCACAGAGATGCAGTTGTCAATTCAAATCTCGTAGTGGTAGAGGTAATAAGAGTATAAGCAGTAATCGGGAAGATTAGGGTTTGGAAATGTTATTTAAAGAGTATAATCCAGTGAAATAAATTTGGAAAGAGGAAAAAAGGAACATGAAGGATTCAGAAGATTAGAATTTGGGAGAACACAGAGAGTGGATGCACCTGCGCCATTGCAAACGATTTTGAGCCATGTCATTCAGGGTCGCTAACCATCGGTTGCTATCATCTCGCGGTCCCCAACCAGGTAGTCTACACCTACCAACATGACTCAGTTCACTTGTCAGTGACTTCATGGATTTGTGCCATGTTTTGGTTTGGCCGCCCCTATCTTTCTTCCAATCTACTCCTATACCACTGAACATAGCACGTCGAGGCAGTCGGTGTTGGCATACGTAACACGTGTCCCAGCCATCTCAACTGATGAAGTTTCACTACTTCATCAATTGATTTGCCATCCTTACCTAGTACCCGTTTCCTAACAACTGTGTTACTTACTCGATGGTCCCATGATATATGAGCAATGTTTCGAAGACACCTATGATCAAATACTAGTAGCCTACGGATATCCTCTACTCTTACCGGCCATGTTTCACTGCCATAAAGTAGGACGGAACGAACTGCTGCGCAGTAAACCCGTCCTTTGGTTGATAGACGGATATCTCGCCTACGCCATAAATGACGCAAGTTGGCGAAAGCTAGTCGAGCCTTCTGTATCCGTGCTGAGATTTCGTCACACACTAAACCACAAGGGCTGATGAGACTTCCAAGATAAGTGAAGCGGTCGACACACTCAACTACTTCACTCCCTATCGCTAGTTCGGGTGTCGATGTAACCCAGTCCTGGTGGTGATTTATACAAGCAATCGATATGATATACCAGTATATTCTTTGGTAGCTCTCCTTAGTACTTAAACTCCTGAATGATAAGTTTAGGAGACTTATTATTGTCTGAAAATGTACAGTGTTCATTACGATGAATATTATTGGCTGTTGGCGTCTGTTATTAAATACTGTTGATTTATTAGAATTGGATTGATCGAATTCTCCTAAATGATTGATCATTCGTGATGATGCCCTAATTGGATCCATTTTGTTACTTTTGGTTCAACTCTCTGGACATGTGGATAATATATCAGGATGATCGAACATACGAATCCGATTCAGTTATAATAAATAGGTTTGCTAATGCTTAACACAATCAGTCATAAAAATTGAGAAGACAAACAATGTGCAGAAACTTTATATTAAAGAGTGAATCGTTATGGACATTATTTATGCATATGTATATAATGGTAAAGTGGTCTAGATAAAAAAATACGTGGTTAGTAAACATGTCTAAATGAGTAGCTTGGTGGATTTAATCTGCCAATGCTTTCGTCTCTCACTTCCATGTAAAGTTAAGACAAAATTTTAACTGTCTGGCACCAACCGACCTATTATCTGCGTACCTTTCTGAACAGTACTCTCTCGATTTAATAGATATGACGGTATGTTAATATTTGTTTTCAGTTGCTCTTTAACTGACAGTTGTTTAATATCATTAGGGGTTTTTGTGGATATTATAATAATTTCAAGTTGAGATCATGAGTCAATTGAAGCTAGACCACCATATTGTGGGACTTCTCAACATGTCGGCTTAGTGGTCTAGGGGCTAAGTGTTGGCGCGCGAGACCGACAGGTCCTGGGTTCGAATCCCGCGAGGTGGGATTGTGAATGAGCCCTGCTGGGGAGTCCTACAATAGGACAAAATGGCTGTCCAGTGCTTTCAGGTTTACCATGATGATCTAGCTTCAACTGAATCATGATCTCAACTATTGAAATGACAGTTATTTGTTCGTTTACACAAGTTAGATTTGATCTCCACTACTAATAAACGATCAGTTGAGTTTTAATGTTGTGTAAAACTGTTTTATACTTCATAACTCATATATCAAATACAGTATAATGTCAGAATTGATTATCTGAACATTGCTTATTAATTTTAGTTTATTGAATGGTTATAATGCAGTTATTCTTTTAAAAGTTCCAACTATTGAACGATTCTTCCCTCTTAATGTAATTATTCTGAGTATTTTTGTAAGTATATCTTATAATTTATTTATTTTTCGAAGTGATTTATCCTTGTTTTTCTGTACCATATAGCGAGACTATAATTTATGGACGATCTTTGAGAGACGCTCAACTGACCTTGAGAGTATTCACCTAATAACTAGGATCAAATGAGGGTTATAAATCGGTATGAGGAATTAGAATTGTGATTTACAGTTGATGATTAAAGGTTAGGAATTAGATTTTTGGGTGTTTCATCACAAATTGACATCAGCTATAATGCAAAGACACTAGTTAGCCAAATGGATAAGTGAATTTCGCTCCAAAATCCGACACTTTTTATATTATTTCTGATCGGTTCGTCCATAAATTATAGTCTTGCATACCATGATTTAGATGTGATTAACCGTTACTCTGGTTACTCCCTACTCTAATTATAATTTAAAAAAAGCAAGTTTATATAAATTTAGGTGATTTTCATCACAGATTAACAAGAGCTGATGTACTATTAAAAGCCAGTGAACATTGAAAAGCTGTTTTACTATAGTATATAAATTCTCAAGTGTGTGAACTCACAACCGCCTCAGAGATTGAAACTAGGAACTTCAAGTTTCTTAGTGAGAAATTAACCTTTGTGTCATTAGGTTGACATCAAATGATTCACTTCTATAGTTTTTATTAACCAGAGATATAAACTGACATCCGTTTGTGATAGCTATCTCAGCTCAAACATTTACATATACGTTTATTCAATTAGATCCAATCATTTAAGAATAAATATATTGAAATAAGTTTCCAACAATTAAACCACCTAATTATTATATGATTAACAGATGAACCTCAAGTAAGTAAAGCAAAGTCAGGAAGCACAATCTGCTGGTAGATAGTTGGTGACTAAAATGAGTTTGTATGCCACTTGTTATTTCAGGATTCTGGGGATCATGTCTTACAATCGTATGACACCATGGTTTTCCAGATGCTGTAGAAAAACTATGTATACACCGACTCGGTTTAATCACCATACATCCGCTCACGTTGTAATACATCTCCATCACATGAAGATGATGGGTAGGACTTTCCCAGTGAAGGCTATAAACCCTTGACCTTATGGGAGGATTTTGAAAGTGAGAGTAGACTATCGCAACCCTTGGACATGTCATGGCGTTTTAAGGGAGGTACATATTATACCAGAGAGGTAAATAACAACTATTATGACTCAGTAGCCTACTAGACAACATACTGGCATTTGCGATGGAGATCATTGCATTCAAGCTCTGCTGGTGAGATCACAATCACCTAAGGTATATTCAACTAACGAATCTCAAATAGGATGAGTAAAATAACCGGTCTTCTAATGCTGGCTGCTATACAGACAATAAGTTTATTCAAAACATTGTATTTATATAAGCAATTATATGCATTTCACTGTTGTATTTTTTTTTTTCACTTTTTTCACAATAAACCATTTTAGACAATCTTCCATTCATCCATTGTGGTCAATATTACATATCAAAATGCTACAGTTGATGATGCTATTTCATTTATTATTGTTTTGTTAACATCAACAGTTCTATTCATCATTACAACAAAATATTCCTATGATATAACAGTCTTTTTCTATCAATATTTCTATGTATTTATAGTACCACTGATAGTTTTACCTATTCTTATTTTAATATTTACTTTCATTGGATTTGAAATAGTAAGTAAACCAGTAATTTTATGAATATATATATAACAATCAGGTCAACAAAATGTCATCCTTTAAAACAGGCGAATCCTGATTCAAGTAGCTTAATGGTAGTGCTTCTGACTGATTCTAGGTACTGTGAGACTAAATTACACAAGCAGTATTAGTCCTCTGAAGTTTCCCGGTACATTTTACTGATGAGCAATATCTAGAGCGATATGGTAGTTTACGAGTTTTTACTTTCGATTATTTTTCATAAAACGAAATATTCGTTCTATTCTTATTGAACGTGTAGGTATCATGAAGACACTAAGAAACTGAATGATAACTTTGTTATTGGTTTTTAGTAATCACTTATTATTATTATTATCATCATGTATTGGTTGTTTGAATATTCCTATTAATGTTAAGGACTTCAGCAGATTAGTCTGAAACTGGTATATGTGCATCCCGGATCCTTTCGATCCGGATCCCTTCGATGTTGGCATCAAAAGCATTTTAAGCAGTGATGAATGGTAGCTAGCGGTATAATCCAGAACGAGCGTTTCGTTCTATTTGAGATTCGTCGGCTGGATGTATTTGGATTCCAGAGTTGATGTTCGCGTCAGGACTTGAACCTAGTATCGTTCGCTACAAACATCATCGCTTTATCGACGTAGCTACTGAGTCCAGATTGCCACTAGTTTGTGCAATGTAGCGAAGTTTGAATTCATTTTGTATTGTTCGTTTGAATCTTCCCATTGATGTTTAGGACTGCAATTGGATACAGTAGCTGAGTGAATAACACGATGGCGTTTGAAGTGAACGGTACAGGGTTTGAGTCCCAGAGTGAACATCAACTCTGGAATGCAGATACATCCGGCTGACGAGTCCCAAATACGACGAAACGCGCGTCCTAGGTTCCACTATTTGCCACCATCCATCTCATATCAGATGAAAACAATTGAAATTCTAGAATAATTAGAAATATTCCATAGCGTACCAATACCCCCCCCCGCGAAATTTTCATTTTTTGAAAACAACATCTTTAATTTTAATTAATAACTCTTAATTTATTATTTTGTTTTAATTATAACAGCTAACGAGTAAATTGTTCATGGTATTCACTTTTATACACTTTCAATTTGTAAGTTTTCATTGGTTCAACTTGTGACTCAAAATGTTTATTCATTTATGTAATATTCTTAGCTTAGAGATATCGAAATGATTGGGGTTACATATGTAAATAATTGAATATGGACTTAGGAGAGTTGTGGTTGCTCATTTCTATGTCCCATACCAAAACAAAAGGAATATCCTGGCTTTAAATTGTTGTCATTCCATATTACTTACTTACGCCTGTTACACCTCGTGGAGGAGCATAGGCCACTCACCAGCATTCTTCATCAAACCCTGTCCTGGGCAATCCTTTCCAGCTCTTTCCAGTTGTAATTCATCCTTTTCATATCTGCTTCCATTTCCCGACGAAGTGTGTTCTTTGGCCTTCCTCTTTTCCGTTTCCCTTCACGATTCCAGGTTAGGGCTTGCCTCGTGATACAGTTTGATGATTTGCGTAATGTATGTCTTATCCATTTCCATCGTCCTTTCCTAATTTCTTCTTCAGCTAGAAGCTGGTTTGTTCTCTTGTCATTCCATGTAGTCTCCAAAAATTCAAGTATATCCGCGACTCGACCGTACATGTAAAACTAGAAAAAGAAATGTGATGCTTATGATTTTAAGTGGTATTAATAGACAGGGATCTTTGGATTTGTATTTTGTTCCCACTCTTATTCGATATCATGGGATATCAGTGACTTAGACTAAACTAATATTTGTTATTTGACTAAAACTCGTGACACACAGTATCGATTGTTTCTTGTAATTTAACACTAAAAAGCGTTTATTCACATAGAAATCTGATTTGTAAGTATACTAGTCAGTATTCAAGTTCTACAGTTATAGAAAGTCATAAGATCGGAGACAGATTGACTAAAAAGCGTGCTCTTAAAAAACACAGTTTACATTTTCATAAGTGGTATCCAGGATTATATCAAGTTCTAAACTTATACGAAATTGTAACATTTAACTGTTCACTTTTCAAATTATCAATTAGACCTAATCGGTGACAATTTACATAATGTCTTTTTTGTAACTAGAAAATTTCTGATTAAATAATTCTAAAATGATATCATACTACTTAATTTGGATCAAAGTACAATGTTCAATTTATAGTAAAAGTAGGAAGGGCTATGATGTAGTGAATGGTTTTTTTTATTTATTTATCATCCAGAAAAAATAGAGCGTAGCCGATTGTTGTGTTTACCTAAAGAAATCAGTGCTCTTTATCTATGTCAAATAATTTGGGAGGGAATTTTCAATATATTTTATCTGAGCAACAGTAGATGTATTCTAAGTAAAGATGGATAATAGTTAGCAGTGGAATCCAGGATGCTCCTTTCGTCTTATTTAGGACTTGTTAGCTGAATTACCTGCATTCCAAAGTTGATATTCACTCTGGAACTCGAACCTAGTACAATTTGCTTCAAACACCATCGTGTTATGCACTTAACTACTGAGTCCTGATAGCCACTTGTTTGTGCAATACCAAGTGAAACAATAGACGTATTTTGATATAATGGAGAAGATTTGTAGTCCAGATGAATGATTGTAGTATGAGTAAAAATGGAAGCTCCTTGACTAAATCATCTAGCTTAGATAGCCAAACCTTATCAAAAACATATTTTGGTTTATGGTTATCCCTTCAGAAATAGTCCTGATAAGTAATTGTAACTGTTTTGAAGAAAGAAACATAAATTATTATGTTTTCGACATGTAATACTTACGAAAGGTGAACATCCTTGGTGAAGATGTGAAATATAATAATATTTTTAGTGTAAAGCAAGAAATGAATTCAGAAGTTTACATTTTGATTATACTATGCACAGCTACCTTCAATTTCAGTATTTTTCGAAAATGTTATGGAATTTTCCGATTGAAGTTTTATTTTGAGTGATATGCAAGAATGAATGAAATCAATACAATTCACTTCGCAAAAGAAGTAAATAAAAAAGTCAAGTATTCTGTCAATTCTAATTGACTGATAAAAACTAGTACTTCATCGGAATATTCACTTTCAACAATATAAAGATAGTAAAAATTGTCATGAAATCTAAACATTCTAGACTAGATCACTGTAGAGAGAAGTTACTGTGGTGTGTGCTACTTATATTGACATAAGTAGTATATGATGTTAGTCGTGAACAGAAGGTCTGGCAGCAGAGAGACAAGAGGATCGAACATTAAAGAATCGAAAAACAATGTAATTTGTATGAAAATGCAGGAACAATGAAGTCTGAGTCATTTTGAGACAATTGGTGGACAGTTTGCAAATTAAGCATTTACTTTATGACTGTTAGATTTTATTAACATTTGCTGTAATTGGTTGCCAAATACATTCGATTGTCCCCACCCGTGTTCTAATCACTACAATACTATTGTAAACCTTCAAAATAGGATAAGATCAATGGGCTTTTGATCGTCACTAGTTTCATAGTTGATATCAATTCATGATAAAATTCAATTTAACTTTGTTAATTTAATTCTAATAATTTTCTATCAGTAAAAACAAACGTGAATCATACAACTAATTCTTGGCAGTTAGTTTTTTTTAAATATCAGATGAGTTTTGTGGATATTATAGTAATGTCAATGGTTAGGATCATGAGTCAGTTGAAGCTAGACCATCATGGAAAACCTGGAAGCATTGTTTTGTTTGTTTTTTTTGTTGTTGTTTTTTTTCCAACATAGTTCACAATCATCACAGCTCAAACACTTCAAGGTGGTCATGATGTTGAAATGGAAATAGAAGATTATGTTCTAGGATCAATGCAAATGTTCATTGTGATTTTATGTTCATCATTATCATTATCAACATTATTTGAAAGAAATTTCATTGAAGAATATGATTTGTTTAAAACAATATTCTTAATATTCAATATTCCATTAGTATATTTTTCTATATTGATTAATGAAACTAATCTCAAAAGTAAACTAAATAATCATATGGATCAAATTACTCATTAACAAAATACATTACAATATGAAAACATTAAATAAAAAAGTGGTTTTTATGATTTTACTTACTAATAAATCCTTTCCAACTATTACTTTTTTCCTTACCGTTTTATACTACTTAAATGATTTGAGTTTGTAAAACTGTCTATAAGAAAAGAGTTTAAATTAGACAATTAATTATAATCAGGGGTTTGTGGAGATTTTAGAAATTTCACAGAACAAAATCATGAATCAATTGAAGCTAGACCACCATGGAAAACCTGGAAGCACTGGAAGGCCATCTCGTCCTGGTATGGAATTCCTAAGCAGTGCGCATCCACGATCCCGCACCTCGCGAGATCCGAACCCAGGACCTATCAGTCTTGTGCCAAGCGCTTAACCAACTAGAGCACTAGTATACGGTGGCGCAACTTCGTGGATTGGTTGAAGTTAGACATTAACACTATTAGATGCCGGCTCAGTGGTTCATTTGAATATGTAACATTTTTAGCAATACTCGGCTACAACCTAATGAGTAATCAAAAATGAAGATATTAAGAACACGTGATAACAATATTTACCAGGTCTTTTCAGTTACTACTTATCTTTTCTTATGTTTACTTCCGATTCTCGACGTTATGTGTTCTTTAGTTTTTCCTCTTTTACGTTTTCTTTCAGAATTCTAAGTCAGCGCTTGCTTGATGATGCAATTTGATGATTTCCTCAATGTGTGTCCTATCCACTTCTAATGTCTTTTCCTAATTTCCTGTTCAGTTAGTTTGTTTTTTCCTTTAGTAGGTTGTTGCTGATTGTATCTTGACAGCTGGTTTTGAGTATCTTTAGTAGATAATTGTTTAGAAATACTTTCAGTTTTTCAGTGATGATTGTAATAGTTCTTTAAGTTTCAGCTCCGTACAGTGGAACTAGTTTGATGTTCATATTGAAGATTCTAACCTTAATATTGGTTGACAGTTGTTTTGAGTTCTATATGTTCTTCAATTGTAGAAATGTTGTCCCTACCTTTCCGATCATTTCCTTTACGTCTGCGTCAGATCTTCCTTGTTGCTTTTTAAATGCTTTCTATATAATATAAATATTAGTCGTTATTTGGTTAGATCAAATTATATATATATATATATATATATATATATATATATATATATATATATATATATATATATATATATATATATAGTTAGCAATAAATCATTAATTAATACATAACATCTGTAACTTCTGATTTACATTTATGAGAAATCAGATGAGAACTAAACAATCTTCTGCAAGATAATATGCACATGAAGTCAAATAATAAACATCATATTCATTTCTGTTTAAAGAGTATAACACAAAAGAGAAATTGAGTGAATATACAGAGATCTTTTAAGTATTTAATTGTTCATTACCAACAAAAGTTAAATTGGTATGATAGTAAACGTTTGTAACACGGGTGAATGCTATGGTTAACATTATACTGTTTGAGCAGAATGGAATAATCAATGTTTGATTATTTTTCTGAATAATATGTTCATTGAGTTACAGATCTTTTAAGAAAGACAATGGTAGTTACACTGTTAAACCAGTGGAAATTTCCTACCATTAGTTTCTTCAATCCTGAAAGGAAACGGAAAAGAGGCAGGTCGAAAAACACTTTGCATTGGGAATAGGAAGCAGATATGAAAAGGATGAATAGTAATTGGAAACAACTGGAAAGGTTTATTAAGGACAGAGTTAGATAGAGAATGCTGGTGAGTGGTCTATGCACTTCCATTAGGGTAACAGGTGTAAATAAGTAATTAAGTTCCTTCAATAAACTTTCGTAAAACAGAGACAATGAATATTATATAAAAAAGGGAACTAATAGATTCATAGACTCATAGATTTATCCACTGGAAATCATAGAGAATAGAATATGTTGTTTATCTGAATCTGTTTCAAATCATAACGCTATGGAATTCATTTATAAACCTTAATAAACGGATTACTTCTTCTTTGAACAGTACTTTTTGACATTTTTTTTCTATATTTCACACTGATTTACAGCAAACTGAAATTGTTTAAAATGAGAATAAATTACAGATTTGACTTAAATGGTTAAAAGTTTAAACACCTTCAAAGAATACACCAACAAAAATACTTTTGTACAGCTCAAACTGTGGAAATTTGGAATGGTTGAAAGGATAAATGTAGGCTTGAATAATTTAGATTGAAACTGGCAAAATATTATTATTATTATTAGTGGCTTTATTCAATATTATATTTTTGGTACAATGTTGAAGATGCCACAGGTATTCGGAGTTTGACAACACTTTAACCAGTAACACCTTCTAATATGAATCGTACACGCCAAGTGAAATCAAAAGACAGAAGCGAGGAGGTTCGAAAATATATTTGATATGCTATCAATATATCGAGGATCGTCTGATCTAATCTGGCTAGCGATTGCAGGGGTTGTTGAGCACGGCGTTCTCACTCGTGATCTTGTGTGGATGCATGACCGAGTGCCTTCAGCTAGGTGAGTCCATTAAAACTAATGTGGTCAGCATCCAATGTCGAAAACTTACAGAACTATTTATTTTGGGGATTTATTTACCGCTACAATGTATATATATTCACAGCACAAAATATTTCAACAAGTTTCCTTTTCTCATTTCTTTATCGAACCTTGAGATAAATACTCAGTGGTCGCCAGTTAGATGTTCAGTCAGCTACAACGTAGGATCAGGCACATATATGCATCAGTTCAAGTTGTCACACCTCATTAGCACGAGGTGAACACCAAATTCATAGAAGTAGTAACTTCAATTGTAGAAATGTATCAAAGAAAGATTGTGTATAAGGATATTATACAAAGAGAAAGAATTAGTTCGTAGAAATAAAGATACAGAGTGATTTTAATCTTACGGTCCAAGGGAAGACAGAGAGTGTATGCACCGACGCCATTGTGATCGATTCTGAGCCATGTCACCCAGAGTCTCCAGCCATTGGTTACCCCAACCAAGTAGTCTGCATCTACTAACATGACTCAGACTACAAGTTAGCGACTTCAAGCACTGGTGCCACGTTTTGGTTTGACCACCCCTAAATTTCTTCCAAACATCCTCTACACTAGTCAGCAGTGCACGTCGTGGTAATCGGTGTTCAGGCATACGCAACACGTGGCCCAGCCATCTCAGTCGATGAAGACTCACAACCTCATCACTTGATTTACTATCATTCCCCAATACCCTGCGTCTAACTTCACTATTACTTACCCCAGCAGATGCGAACAATATTTCTAAAACACGTGTGATCAAATGCTTGTACCTTACGAGTATCTTCTACACTCAATGACCACAATTGGCAGCCGTAAAGTAGAACAGAACGAACTGCTGTACAACATACTCGTCCCTTAACTGATAGATGGATATCTCGCCTTTGCCATAGGTGACGCAATTTGGCAAAAGCCAAACGCGTCCGAATACTTCACTCCTATCCTTATTTCCGATGTTGACGCAGACCAGTCCTGAAGCAACAACTTGCATTTAAAGGGAGAGAAGCGCATTCCAAGCATTCTGGCATTGTTGCTCAGTGCTACCAAATGACTCTGTGTTTTATCAGCGTCTTCACCAAACAGGACTATATCAGCTGCGTATTCTAAGTCGATAAGTGGACCTCCTGGATGGAGATCAATACCCGAGAACTCAGTCGACGAGAAAGTTATTTCCATCAGTAGATCTATGATGAAGTTAAACAAAAATGGGGAAAGTGGACAGCCTTGACGGACACCACTTGAGGTTGCAAAAGTAGATGACAGTTCGCCATAAGCTCTGACTCGACTAGTAGTGTTCGAGTAAAGAGCCTTTACAAGGTTTATGTACTTCTGGGGTACGCCTTTCAATGACAGACACTGCCACAGAATCTCGCGGTCTACAGAGTCAAATGCTGCTTTTAAGCCAAGAAAAACAATAATCATACCTGTGTTTTAGAACCTGAAGAATAGTGAATATGTAGTCGATGCAGCCACGACCAGGTTTGAAGCCAGTCTGATGTTCTCATGTTTGTATTTCACGCGTGTTTGTTAGTCACCACGTTAGACGACGTCTCTCTTTATGCTTAAAATTAGTGTTTGCTAAAATTAAATGATTATCTGGGCACAGTTACAGCAGACGATCACTATTAACTGTTCGCTGAGCCAGGATACTAAAATACTCACCAAAATGTCTTTCCCTTTGGTTTAAGCTACCTACTTGGGTATTAAAGTCACCCACTACGAGCACTATGTCTGAACGTTTAGCTTTCTGTAAAAGTCATCTTTCCTTTCATCCGGGCTGCAGTCAGTGGAAGGATAGGCAGAAACAACGAAAAGCCAACGACGAGTATCCCTATTCTTCCGAGTTCATACGGTGCTGTTTAGCCGAACAGCACATAGAAGACTGTTAAAGGGTATCCACTTAATAGTGCTTGTTCTGCCCTTGTACTTAGTGCTACTCCCAAGCCTGCCAGTCCATGAGAACTAGCCATCGGGTCGCCAGATAAACGGGGGTGTATCTCGTCGGTCCTCCATTTTGCCGAGGTGAGGTCAAGTAGATGACCACACTAGGATCCTGTATGTGTGTTTCGAAGACACAGCACACATCGATGGTATGAGATTCTAGGGTTTTAGCCAAGGGGGCCTGCTGGTCGATATGACATAGGGTGTGTACGGTGAAGGCTCCAATGTGTAGTTTGGAGTGAGGTTTCAGTAGACCTGAGATAGTGTTTTGCGCACTAGAATCGTTGGACATCGTGACACTTGGGGAGGAAGCCGAAAGAAAAGGTTTAGATTTGGAAGTCGATGTAAGAGGAATAATAGAAACTGAAGAGGGTGATTGATAATGAATACAATGATCTTGAGTGATGTTAGAATTCTGAGGCGGGTTATCACTTCCCGGTTGCCCACACCGTGGAAGGGTTCTTCTGGAGGTACCTGCAAAGGAAATTGGATTAGAGGTGGTCTTAGTGACCTGAGAGCGTGACTGCACTATCCAAGGTCGGTCACACACGACCTTTTTGAAGGTAATTTCAGTGTTAGCTCCGTACTTGTTGGGACCTAACCGCCGCAGACTGATATCCGTTGGATAAGGTGAGGTGTGCATTTTTAGGGTTGACCTTTTCTAACCCCACCCCTCCTTGTGGGAAGGCAGCATCGCTGTCATGCTGGTTGTCTGAAGGAAACACCTTACTGCCGTCACACCTCTGTACAGTCAGCAGTAAATTTATGCCCTCAGACCTTGGGTTTGCTGCTTTTAGTCTTACCGCTCTTCAACCGACCTGTCTGACATGGTAGGACCTTGAGGAACGGTTGTTCCATCCAGCATAGCTTGTTTGGTTCATCACAATATACAAGCCCGACCACCACGTCAAGGTGGCAACAACGGTCGGCCCAGTTAGATGCTAACAGGTCAGGAATAGACTTCTGATTAATGTTTATTGTCAGTAACCACGATGTCTCTGATTGTAACTTTCTTGTAACTTGTACAGTAAAATATCTTAAACTTTTCACAAACTCACCCGAATAGATTATACAACCAATAGGCATAATAATGTATTAAAACAAACAAGAAAACAATTAACTTGTTGAAATATCCAAATAACAGAAACAGGTAGATCATACATTCAAGCAAATCTCTCATAGCTCTTTTCTAAATCTGAATATGTACTTTTATTTTCTATTTTTTTTTTACCATTTTCTATGACCTGAATATAACATAATTAACTTATTACTTACATTCTAGGGTTTTATGCTTTTGTAAAACAAACGCATAGTAGATTAGATTATCTTATGTTTATTTATCTAACTATAGTACATTATTGTTATGCACATTATAAACCATATAAGATATCATATGTATATATCATTCTAAGAAATATGAATGACATATGTTACTATAAGAATCATAATAAAATAAAATATGTTGATTTCTTTTTTTAAGTACATTCTTTGTTACTAAGCAAAAAAATGTTTCATTATAGTTTTTTATTTGGTTCTTCATCTAGGTAAATATGGTATTTTTTACAAGAAAGTAAACATAGCAACTACCTTGATTCATAAATATCATTTTAAACTTTATTAACAAAACACGTAAGAGAAAAAAGATCACAAGGTGAAGAAGAAGAACATTCTAGAAAAACAAAGTGGTACCACACTTAAAAGTACATTTAAAGTTGTCAATTATGTTTACTTTAATTTATCTCATAATTAAACAACATAGTTTTTATATTCTAGATTAATTGTAACCATTTTAGATTACATAATGTATCTTGAAAAAGTTTATAATGTAACAGTATCTTAGGATAGAATATGATGTACATTGAGTTAGTCAGATGCGATCATTTATCTTTAAGATTACTGGTGAACAATGATCAGCTAGAGAATACTATTCGCAATGTTGTTGCGGGGAATATTCTTTCTAAAGAATCGGAAATTCTCCTTTTTCGGGTGTGTGTGTGTGTATGGCTCTCTCACCCTTGAATTCGATGTTCATGTATAAAGTTTTCTTTTCTATTGTAGTTATCTGTGTTTTTGGCGTGGTCGGCTCTATGTTCTTATCAATGAATATCGAAGGATAATCATTTTTAATAATTATCTCCTTCAAGTGGCCTAATTTTTCATCTATGACTTCATGACTACAGATTCGTCGTATTCTTGCTGCGAGTGTTATTACTAAGTTTCTTTTTCGACTAATGGAGACCCAGCTGTGAAAGCTTGATAGGTGGCTATTCCACATGGGATAGATCTTTTTAGAGTACCATCTTCTTTTCTTGTTATTTCCACGTCAAGAAAGTGGATATTTTGTTTGTTTTGAACTTCTAATGTGAATTTTATTGTTGGGTGGTAATTATTAAATGTCTTCAAAAGATGACTCAAGTCATATTTGTTGTCACAAACGATAAAGATATCATCTACGTAAATTTTATACATGTAAAGTTTTTCTATAGTCTCCTTGAGTTGATTGTTTTCTAAACTGGCCATGAAGCAATCTGCAAGTAAAGGACCCAGAGGGAATCCCATTGCTATGCCGTCCTTCTGTCTATAAATTACGTCGTTGAATGTAAACTGTACAAAGAGGAGGAAACGGCTCAATAAGAAGCTCAGTAATCGGATACCTTGTGAACACAGGTCACTCAATCAAGACAAACTCTGCGTTCAAAGTCCTCTACAATGTAAGTAGAAGTCTCCCAAGAATATGATGTATCGCTCATTATTTGTTAGCTTAATTTAACACTAATTTGTTTAATAGGATTCAACTTAATAATTTGTTGTCTTAAAGAGGCACTAGACCCTAACTACACAATCCTCAAAGCTGAACACGAGACAATTGGGGAACTATATATTCAACATTTAACGCGGGAATAAACCCAACATTAGGGAAGGCGGGAAGAATAAATTCTATTAATTCAAATTTATTGGATGGCATGGCTCGGCCTTGTAGGCGTGATCATTCTTGTGTAGTCTATACCTTTTATTCATATTAAATATATTGTTCTATCTCCAGCCTAAATGTGTTTTACATCATACATTAGTGATTGTTACGATACAATGATTTGACTTCCACGTTCGATCTTATAGATTAGGCAGTTACGTCCTGACAAATCTACAATTTTAGGATCAAGTCTATTATTAGAGCAGTACTGATAACGAAGTAGACCATAATTCTACAGTCTAATGCTGTTTGACTAATTAAGATTTGAAGATAATTCATAGAAATGAAATCTTTGGAATGACATAACATGAAGCTTATTAGTTGAATGAAATAAATTTAAAGGTTTATTTAAGGTACAATTTAATCTGTTTAATTATCATTCTCATTGTCTTGGTGTAAAACATTAGCATGATGATGAAGACAGTTACTCGTGTTTATTCTTAGAATCTAAACATAAAAACCACCTACTTTGTCAAATAAAACTTATTTAGTCACATATAAAGTAATCTTACGTAGAAGATGACAAGCTCTGATTGCCTTCTATCTCTTTTTTCCTCCGTTCTTTCAGGAAATCCCGTTTTATATCATTCACCTTAATGTATTTTCACAAATAGGACCTAATTATACAAAGCGTTGAGAAACTAAAGTTTGTCTAAGAAAGATTTCTAGTTTTGAAGCTTATTTTGATGGGATTTAACACTTTATATACCGAAATTTACTGGATAAAATTCGATCTCAGACTATAAAAAAGAATTGGAGTATTAAATCTCTTGAGCAATTTGGTATCTCTACTTTCTAACTAAAGAAGTTGAAAGAGTGTAGTAAGTACAGTAAGAGTACACAGTACAGAGGGTCATATAAAAATTGGGTGTTTAAATAGGATCACAGAATTTTTTGACAAATCAAACACACAAAGTTTAGCTAAATGTCAACTGTATAGTGAAATATTCCTATACTTTAAAGCATCAAGACCTACTGGAAAAACAAAACAAAAAATGGTAATATAAAACTAATGTATGAAACATTTAAAGCAATATGAAGTTGACGTGGATAATATCGGACATTGGTTTTCTTAAATAATGAAGACTTTAGAACAGAAAAGTGAAATTACCGAGTGTCTGATCACAAATATTGAGGTAAAATTGGATCACTTCCTGACGTATCAGTATGTGGATCGCAGTAGATAGCAGCAAATCAACTATTATCTATAAATATAAGATTTTTCTAACAGTTTGATTAGTTTTAATAATGATGAAGTTACATTTTACTAGTCGGGATATTACTGTAACACATTCAAACTTAATAGGCATTTGGGAAAATTCTATAGTAAGTGTTTTACATCCATATGAAAATATTCAATATTTGTCTAACGCTACGTTTTAAAACACGGGATTATTTGCATCATATACATGTTGAAATGTGTTAGGATGGTATGAATCAAACTCATATATTCATGAGTATAGGAGTTGTGGAGATTATTAAGTTTTAGATTGAGATCATGAACTAATTGATGTTAGACCACCGTTGAAAACCTGTTAGAACTGGACAGCCGTTTCGTCCTATTGTGGGACTGTACAGTACTGAACAGTTCATCAACATATAGGTTTCATTTTTCTGAAACCAAATTCAGTATATTATAAATGAATAAATGCTAATTAAATGATGTTAATCGAAATTTTTGTTACAATCAACTACTTCATAATAAGTTAGTGTTACCATCTTGTATTATTATTGATCATCAGTGATAATTCTATACATCTCAACGGTTACAAATCGTCATTTAGAATAGTTTATCAGTATTGATTCAAGTTGAGTCATTACAATAATAGTACTGAATCTAGTGTATGATATACAAATTTCAGGGTCTTTTTTGAAACATACTTTAGTAGATATGAATAAATAGGAAAGATTATAAAACATGTGAATATATTGTATTATAATTATGTACAAACTGAGGACTAACATACAAAGCAATTATTATTTCACACAACCAACCAACTAACCAACCCTTATAGTCATTGTCAATCAACAGATTCATGTTTTTCTTATTATTGTATCTCATAATGTATCTATTTATAAAACTAGGCATCGTTTCAGTTCATTATCTTTTGTTTCTTTGGTATCTAATCAATTCAATTCAGCTATTTCTTTTTAAAAAAGAAAAGTATTTTTAATAATTTCTGTAATAGTAATGTACACACCATTATGAATACCTTCAAATTGCCTGACATCATAATACTAGTGAATTAAGAGAGTTTAACTTGAGTAATACATGAAATATTATATGCAAAGACGGATAGTGGCTAGCAGTGGAATCCACGAGTTTCATCCCATTTGGAACTCGTCAAATGGATGTACCTGCATCCCTGAGTTGATGTTCACTCTAAGACTCGAATCCAGTACCGTCCGCTTCAAACACCATTGCGTTATCGACATACCTACTTAGTCCTGATAGTCACTTGCTTGTAAAATCGTGTGAAGTTTAGATTCACTCGGTAAGAAAATTCAAACGAACAATACCAAATGAATTCGGTGCATAAAACATTTAAAGTAATACGAAGTTTGGATTTTTCCATACAGTTGTAACGTGGACAACATCAGACATTGTTTTTTTTTTAAATAATGAAAACCTTAGAACAGGAAATTGAAATTACCATATGAATTAAGAGAGTTTAATTAAACTTTTGTAATTATCTTAACTATTGGCAAATAGGACGAAACGCGCGTCCTAAATTCCACTACTAGCTACTATCCATGTTTGCTTAAAAAAGCTCGTGACTTAAAGTTATATCGAGGCAATCCGCACAGGATGTACAAATGACAAAATGAGACTAATCAATTACAGTCTAAATAACAATGGGAATATACAAGTGAAACAACATGAAGGGAATATTGGCAATTACATTCAAAATAGCTTGATTTTATTTTTGTTAAACAATCTTACATGGAATATATGAATAAACTTGGTAGATTATATATATACATTTGTATATATCAAAGTATATAAGCATTATCAAATGTACATTATTAAATAGCTTCCTTTTTTCTTAAATGTAACCAATCCCTTAGTAACAAGATTTTCATTTTAAACCATTCATAAGTAATAACCTAGTAACAACCAATCATTTCAAACATCATCATATCAATTAATCTATAAATAGAGTGATATTTCAGTTAACTGTTAACAAAACATTACACTAGTGTTGTTGTTTATTTGGGTGGTGACCAATAAGTAATAAACAGGTAAATGTGTATTTTTTAAAATTATTTTTGTAACATTATATTATGTAATTTACGTGAAGTTGTAACTGTTTTCTAAAATATTCCCTTAATTTTCATTTTAAAGTTACTGTTTGGATTAGAGATAAGAGATTCAATGACAGTAGACATAAACTATTTATGATACTTAGACATGCTAGCTATGAAGAAATATGTTTTGTTGTTTGTCACTAAATACTTATTTTAGAAATTTCAATGGTTAAAATCATGAGTCAGCTGAAGCTAGACCACCATGGAAAACCTGGAAGCACTGGACGGCCATTTCGTCCTATTGTGGGACTCCTCAGCAGTGCGCATCCACGACCTCGCCCACTGAGAGATTTTAGAGTTCTTAAAACATTTAATGTAATCAGGGGCAAATCATCTATCATATGGTTACACAGTAATCGTTTCTATCAATCAAGCTTTATATGACTACTTATGTTGATGCCTAGAACTAAATGGAATGGATCATAATCACATGTAATACCAGTCGGTGAATTTGTATCGACAAGTGTGTAATCACTAGTAAGAATCTGAGAGATAAATATGATCTATGGTTTGAGATAGTGATGTAAGATAAACAATATTCAAGTTGATCATATAGAAATGTAGCAACCAGTAACATTTACATTTAAACTATGAATTAGTAAAATATAAAACTGAAACATCCAATACTCTTCTGTATTTATTTTAAGTTAGAGCTCAATATCATTTCATCCTTCTTAATATTCGGCTTCAGTCATTTTGTTTAAAACCATTTTTATCATGTTTGGCTTTCAACTACATCTGAAATTACTTCCTCCCTTTTACTGCTTCTTATTTTATTAACATCCTTTCCAATTATAAAGATAAGAAGTGTGTTTACTTGGGATGACACACACTTGTCCAAGGTCTGTGAATGACCGCCTCATTGAATGATTACCAGTTTAGAAAAAGAAATTTCAGACGAACATAAAATTAGATGTGATAACTATATTGCCTTCTCTTGAAGCCAATACTTTAACTATATGACATACTGTGGTTTTTTCTTTGATGACTACACTGTTCTTACATCCATGAGATCATGATTTTTCAATATTCAATAGTTAATCAAGTGAAAAGAAAGTAATTTTGGATAGATATTTATTCTATATACATTGAATACATTCTTATTCAAGAAAAGAATTTACCATGGTAATGACCATATGTTTCCAACTTGGTAATGTCAAACCAGTTAATGGTAGAAAATGGTTTAGAGTTATAAAATGAATAAAAGCTAAAACGTTAATCAGGTCTGAATAATAATGACTGAATTTCAATTCAATGTGAATGATGTGGCACATGTATATTGTGTTAAATATGAAATCAGTCCATCACAAATAAATTTTCAGTACGGATAAGTATTTTGTATAGTAAAGATAGTTTAAAGTATTTGGATTGTCATAATTGATGGTCAACTGTTATGGCTGTGTCATCAATTGTTATATCTGCTTGTCGCTAAATGTTTTGTCGGAATCGTTTATTACTTATACTTGTAAAAACGAGAAAATCACTGCCATTCCCACGATTTGAAAGTAAGAACACAAACACTGATACAGGTGAAGATTTATTCTTAACCTCAAAACACGACGACAACGACTCTAGTCCATAATATACTCACCCTTTTTTTGGTTAATAATTAGGATAAAATCACGTATACGATAAAAACCTAGAGTTATGACAAATTACACGCTATATATCATGCTGAGCATAGTTCATGATCACTCGATACAAGAATATCGTATGTTATACAGAATGAAATGTAATATAGGAAAACAGAAACAAACACTACACTGAATAATTATTGCATAGGATTGGAATTGAAGTAAAGTTCAATAGAAATCATAATGAGTAAAAGAATGCAACTTTGACTTTTCTTCGCATCATATCAAAGGGACTAATTGTTTTAAATATCATGGATAATTAACCAAAAATGACTATTTAAGAATTCAAATCCATTGTCAGATGTTTCATTGAGACTACAAAACAGAGTTTTATACCATCTTATAATTCATATCTTCAGTGTAGTACATTAGTTGATCTATATGTAAAAGATATTTTATATTTATGGATTGAAAAGTGATGAACCAATTAACTACACTTATTATCAGAATGGGTTTTGTGGAGATTTTAGAAATTTCAATAGTTGAAATCATGAGTCAATTGAAGCCAAACCACTATGGAAAACCTGGAAGCACTGGACGGCCGTTTCGTCCTAGTATGGAACTCCTCAGCAGTGTGCATCCACTATCCCGCCCCCCCGCGAGATTCGAACTCAGGGCCTATCAGTCTCGTGCCAGGCGCTTAACCAATTAGACCACTGAGCTGGCATCCAATGGTGTTAATGTCTAACTTCAACCAATTCACGAAGTTGCGGCACCGTACACCATTGTCTTCAGTGAGTTGATACCTCACAACCACACTTATATCTGTACTATGAAAAAGTAAAATATCGGATTGAAGTAAGCAAATACCGTTTTACTGAGTTAAAGTTAATAATAGTATTACACTTTATAGATTTACATAGATATTACTAATTAATCAAGCTATGAATCTAGTCACTCGATAGATTAAATTAGTTCTATTCTTAAAATGATACATAATATCTAATCAGTACCATGTTACCAAGGAATTATTCATAAAAGGCGTTACTTTATTCATGATGTATACTAAAATAATGAGATATATATATATATAATACTTAATATAATAAGTCATATGAAAGTAAGTAGTTAGAATGATCTAGAACAACATTGAAGTATAATTTCTCATCAATGTGTTAGGGCGGTGGCGGTGGTGGTGGTGGTGGCGGCGTGTGGAGGGAGGAAATCACAATCATCATGCAATACTTGTCAATCAATATTAATGTATCATGATTATAAACAGGTTATTGACAAAATCTAAAAGGTGTTCCATTGTTTTGTCAAATAAACAGATCATATTGACGGCGTTCATTTGTTCTATATATATAAATACAGTGATTCCAAACAATAGATTGATGAATAAACAAATGTAATTCGGAGTAAACAAGTTTATTTTTGATCTTGTTTATCTTTTGTTTTATATTACACTATATAAATCATTGTATTATGAATGAATGATTATTGTATTTTCTTTACAGAGACTAACTACAGTTCAACGGTGAGAAATCATTTAATTTAATATTCTTTTATAAAAAAATCTATTCATTGATGTTGATGTCAGATACTAACACCATTGGATTCTGGCTCAATGGCCCATTAAGTTGTCCAGTGCTTCCAGGTTTTCCATGGTTGTCTAGCTTTAATTGACTTACAAATTCAACTATTACTATTACTATAATATCTATATAACCCTTTTCTGATTGTAATTATATATCTTGAAATGTTCCGAATCTAATTATTCAGAATATATGCTAATTGATTACTTAGAATTTATGTTTGGCTTTGATCTAAACTTATTGGTAGGCTATAAGAAAAAGTTGCTTTTTCTTTCAAACCATGAATATATGATTTGGTTGAGGTTAGATATTAACAGCTCTACTGTCTTATAGATTCGACGTTTGGATCAAAGACTCCGGTTGTGGCCCCCTATGAAAACCACTGGTTTCGGTTTGGTCACCCGGATAGTGTCATAGCCCATACACAAATCAATTGATTTATGTGGCGCATATCTATTTAATGCTTCCTTGTACCAATGTTCATGTGTTTAAATAATAATAATAATAATAAGATATAAGATTGAAAAATTCATTTCACTCTCATGTCATCTAACAACATGACACTGTAGCCTATCTCACGTCGCTGAAAGGAAACGTTATTCAAGTGTAATTTAGCACTTATGATGAAATCCATAGTGAAAAAAAATGCTTATTCAGTAAATGAACCAAAAATGTCCGAAAATCCGCTTTTCATCTTTATTAAAGACTAGAGAAAGGATGGTTATCCTCACGCTTTTTTTTGTCATTGTCAGTAACTAATGCATCTACTTTAAAAGTACTGAAATTATTAAGGGAGGTCATTTCATTTCATTATTTTCTGTCATACACTTTCAATGAATTGTCGTTCATATGCCAAACATTGAATTATAAATGATAGCACTATATTATTTATGTCAAAAAGGTTCTAGTTATAATTTTTCTTGTGATCGGTTTTGAAGCATTATTTGTGTAAACGCTAACGACACTAGCTGGATTCCGAAATTGAATTGAGTAGAACAAAGTTTTAGTGTATAGATTACGGGTTAGCTTATATAATAGGGATTTAGTGAGATTGTCTAATAAGCTCATGTCTTTGTATTCACATGACTTATTCGAGGTCATAATGTAATTATAAACTTGAAGTATGATGGTAAATAAACATTCACCCGTTTTTCACAAACATATGAACAAAGAATAATTATTTTAACCAAGTAATTGCTGAACTCTGATTACGTTGTTCATATTTTGGCAGACGAACAACACCTTAAATTAAAAACCTCTTTGTTAAATTGACCCTTTCACTGAAAAATGTTATTATGAGTGTGAATTCAAGAAATTAATGATTGGATTGTAGCGTGGCATCGAGTGACGGTTGACTATGATCACCACTACAAGAAGTTTACGTACCAGATATCAGAAGGCACTTGGAGGTTGTAGCAAAATATATTTGTTAGTGATCGCGTGGTATCGAAAGAATACCGAGATCGTGCCAAAGGAGTACAAGCAGATTCACTGAGCAAACGTAAGTTTGTGCAAGATCACAATCAACGGAAGGAAGAATGGAAGAATAATGAATGTCTTTAGTACAATTAAACAAACAAGTACAGTAAAACAATCCCTGGTACAATTGTTTTGATTACACCAATCGCGTTCTGTTGACAAAAATAGGTCACTACAGTATCATGCCTTAGGTTTATCATTGTAACCGTTTACTTCGAAGTTTATTCTGCATACAGTAGTATTAGTATAGTAAATAAGTGTGTATTCATATAAACAAACGTTTTAGTAACTGATCAATGTGGGATTTGAACAAAGAATGAAGACTAAATAACAATCACTTTATTTCACATTGTGTTATATATATATATATATATATATATATATATATATATATATTATATATATATGGCCTATTGTTTCTATCAACCTGAAGGGAAGGAATAGTGGAGTCTTACAAGTCTACCGAAAGTTAGGGTTATTTTTGTGTTGTATTATGTTATTGTAATTATTATTATTATTATTATCATGACAAGTGTGCATTACAAAAACGTTTCGTTATACCATTTTGTCTGTTAATTACTCACAAGCAGGAAACATGTAAGTTAGTGTTCTCCGTAAAGAAAGAATTTGCTGAAATTAAGTTCGCTTTTTTACATTTATAAACAACTCCATGTTTGTTAATTTATGAAACTTTCGATTTTTTTAGGGGAAAAGACGACGATCATCAGTAAGCTGAGATAGTTTTAAAAATATCTTTTATCTAATCTGATGTAGAAAATATTTATGTAAGACCTAATTATTTACAATTGTTGATGAAAGAGTTATGAGGAAATTGATTTCACTTTTTAATCGATATTCTTCTCAGACTAGTCTCTATCAAGATCGTATTCAAAATGGGCTAGAACTAAACAATATTATGGAGCTCCTCTGCATTCTGCAACTACATAACTGGCTTAGATAAAACCCATGACTTTTAATCCCGGTTTCATGTTTAACGCATTATGCATACATACCAACTTCAATGAACTCATAATATAGCACGAGAGTTATTTAATCCTATTGGTTGCAATTATTTCACTTTTGAATGATCAAATCCTTACGATAATGACTTCCCATTTGAACTTCAAGAACTTACCCTGAAGTAAATCACTACTGAATGGAAGATTATTGTATTAATCTGAGAGTTTTTTGTAGGTTGATTCAAATAGTATGCGAAATTTTTCACAGGACAGCAAAATAACTATCGAATGCTCCATGATCTCTACTAATACTTAAAATGAGGTCGAACTCTGATGAATAACACTTAAGAGCGACATTTTAAGTATCTAAAAATTTTTATTTAGACTGATAGTAATTAATAAACGCTTTCCATAATAAACTAATGAAGGATTTTCTTTCAAACTCAGTTTTAGTAAATATAACTCTAAAAATTCTATGAAACAGTCATGCTCTGTTATAAACTGATTGACCTAGATTATTCTGTATTCATGTTCTTACACATTCAATCTTTCATTAATCTAAAACAGTAAGGTTAGAGTGAAATTTAAAGCTTTGAATCAACAACAAAGCTTCAACTGACTCATGATTTCAATCAAAAACTTAACAATCTCCACAACACCTAAACTGATAATTACCATGTGCTCACTAGTGACTAGCTTCGTTAGAAAATTCTCAGAGTTCTGGTGAGAAGCCATAACCAGTGGAGCTAATCCGTATCGGGTAGAAACACGTGTCTACCTCAGTACAATGGAAGATGGTCGCGCAATTTCGTGGATTGATTGAGGTTAGACATTAACACCATTGGATGCCTGCTCAGTGGTCTAGTTGGTTAAGCGCTTGGCACAAGACTGATAGGTACTGGGTTCGAACCTCGCGGGATGCGGGATCGTGGATGCGCACTGCTGAGGAGTCCCTTACCAGAACTTTCAGGTTTTCCATGGTGGTCTAGCTTCAACTGACTCATGATTTCAATCAAACACATACAATGTAGTTATTTCGAACGTTGTAATTATGTGAATGAAGATTTTTAACAAAGCAATGGAAGGGAATATGGATTTAGTAAGAAGTTACTCTCTGTATACTGACATTCATCATTACGGGAAAAATCGAAATAGGGCTTCAACAAACCAATATATTTAGATCCATATTATTATACTTCAAATTTTTGAAATAGACATTTACTATGAATGTTGTTATTATATTTGTTTAATACAGTTCAGGATCCAAAGATCAGTACGTTCTTTCAGTACAATTTACCTTTTAGTTCATTAGCTATTCTTTTGTCAAATACTTTCAGTAATCTACTTTATTTAAAAACTTGTGAAGCTAAATGGAAACAATGAATTAACCCTTATTTCATATTGTCATGTGAAAGATAATTTTGTTTTCATTAAATCATTTAGAAAATCTAGAATACCTAGACTAATGTTACCATTAGAGAGATCTAGATTCAGACTCAATCGTTCGTGTTGAATATCACAGTATACATTAAACAAAGATTTTAACAGTGCTAGTTCTTCTTGAACACACACTGCGAAGTATTCATTTCAGTTGAGAATATGGTTTATCTTCAATAATTTTATTGATATTCGTCCCTATTTAAATTGAATGAGTTCGATCCTCTGTCAGAAAGATTTGTGCAAGGTTTAGATACTTGGGTAATTTCGAATTTCTAACCGTAATTTTGTTAATCTTGTGGAAGTACTTAACTAACTTGGTACTGAGACATCGTGAATCGGACGACTTACGTAAGAATATGAAGACGATAATTAAAGATTTATTTGACTCAACAAAATAAATCAAAATCACATTTGAATACACTACTTTTTCCGTGATTTATTCACATTCAGATTAACAGCTAGATTCGTATAAACTGAACTAAGCAGTATCTAACATCACCTAGTTAATAACTTATAGTGTGAACAAATATTTACCGTATCATATAATCAAGCATCTATAACCAATAGAAATAACCAAGTAACTATGTTATATAATTACCCGTTTTCAAAATACGATTATATATCAGAGATGATTGTGAAACATTCGAGGATGGGAATTTGATGGTCATGTATGTGTACTGATTAACCATAATGAGAGATTTTAGGTGGGAAATCAATAGATGTGGTAGATAATATGAACTACTTATTCACCGTGAAAGGTTGAAATAAAATGACTTCACCAATTTAATATTCGATAGTCGAATATATATGCTCTTTCATTTATTTATCATACTGCTAATATTTGTGATAACATAGTGAAAATGAGAACTATACTTACTGAAACGCAACATAAAACTGGAAAGTCAAATAGACTTGTAAAATTGGTTGATTTGGCTAGTAGGCCTCCTATGATGCCGTTAATTAGAGTTAAACGAAATGCATTGTTTTCCACTTGTTCTTTTCCGACAATCGGTACAGAAAAGACAGTAATTTTACAGAATGCAATAAGGAAAGTGAATGAAAACGGTATTGGAACAGCATCCATTTATGTACGAGTATTAACAATTTCGTGAATACAGTAAAACCTCACATTGTAAAATGTTATCAAATAAATAATTGAGCGGGTAGATTCACATTATTCATCAAAATTTAACCAACCAAACACTACTAATGAATTACTCAACTGAACACTTATAAGTGGTATTTTAATGAACAAGATCATAGACGAGAACAGTCAAATGTCTCCTAACACATTACAGAATATCTTGGTAAAATCTGAGAACCATACAGTAAATAATTCATTTGCAAATTATCCATTGATTGTCCTAAACTTTGTTGTTCCTTCGTTTCTATACCAATCACTCCCTGTTCTCATTCTCTTCTCTTTGATTTTCTCAATTGTCTGCCGCCAGGCACTCCACTTTTGATTGGTGATACATACTAATTACATTTGACGACATCAGTGGTACACACCACAGTACTATTTTCTACAATGTTTTTCATCTATCTTTAATGTTTGTTGTGTCAATCAACTCTTTCATGATACTTGACTAATTGTTCGACATAATTTGTTATTTAATTATTATGTTTACCTTGATAAATTACCAAACAAAACAATGATTTGACTAATTTTTTTACTTTCCTTTGTATTTAGCAAAAAAGATAAACCTCAGTAAGAAATCGTGTTTAGAGTAAACAAGAAACCAATACATTTGTTCCATTAGTTCATACACCATTACATGTGAAATTGCTTTCGTTATCAAAGATTTCTATGGATTAACTCATGTATAGTATCATATCGTTAAGTTAAAGAAGATTAAATATGACCTGAAAATAAGAAATTGTTTCCTGTGTTATGCATGTATAAACATGAAATGTCCTCTTGCACTATTCATTCTCCATTCATAACATTATCAAATTATTGATAATAAGTCAGTTGATCAATATCATCAGAGAGCATGACACATAAGCATGTTGGACAAGTTACCATGTCAGATTAATACAATGAGATGAAAATGAACAAGATAAAAAGAAAAAGAAAGTGAAATGATAATGAGAAAAACTGAAGATTATGAATATGGAGGAGATTGATTTTGGCTATCAGTAGAATCCATGACACACATTTTGTTCAGTTCAGGGCTCAAACTAATTACCTTTGACTCCGACCACCCAGCAAAGTTAGCCATTTAGCCACTGAGATCAGACAACCACCCATTTGTGTAACAGTTACGGACTTAATATCATTATTTGGATGGGTTTGGATTATCCCGTTGTTGATACTGTTTGACTCTTGAAGTTAATATCAACACTAGGATGAAGATAAATTCAGCTAACGATTCCTAAATAGAATTAAATGTGTACCCTAAATTAACTTCTAGCCACAATAAACCTATTACATATAAACTTGTAAAAAAGTCATATGGAGGCAACATGTACAGAATATACTATGTCAGTTAAGACTGATCGAAATTCGGTCATTAATATTAACAGTAGAACAATCCAAACCCATCCTAATAATAATGTTAAGAGTATGTTTTAGAGCGACTGAGTGTAAATGTCTATATGAAGAAATTCAAGATCTAGAGATAGATAGAGAATCAATGCATCAACGCTATTGTGACTGATTCTAAGCCATATCGATCAAAGCTCGTAACCAATGATTACAGTTATTGTGCGGACTCCAACCAACTAGTCTACATCTACCAACAATTATTGACCTCATTGACTGATGTCACGTCATGGTTTGATTGTACCTAGCTTTTTTCCAAACTAATTCTACCCTAGTAAACACCTCTAGCCATGGTAATGAGTGGTTAGGTACAATTAACAAAAGTCTTAACCACATTAATCGATGAAGGTTTACAAACTCATCTATCAAAGCTCAGTAATAGACTGGTTATGTTTAGCCACTATGAAACAAATCACTTATATAAAAAACAAGATGCTAGCAGACCCAAGTTGATAAAAGTAAGTATAGTACTTCTAAAAAAAGACCACCATTCTCATGAACAGGTGGGTTTGTGAAATCAGTGAAATCAGTTCAATTTATAAGTACAACAATTAAAACAATTAGTTCCTATGATAAATTTCAATGGCATAATAAGAAGACGAAGATAATCAGACCTATGTGATATTTATTAGCATAATACATTTCGAACAATCTGATCATTTACAAGTGGTTTAAATAGTCTTTTATTGAAACAAAGGTTTCAATCAGACGTATTATCCAGTAAAGGTCATTATCAAGGAAAGAACGAGGTTCATCCTCCATGGAAAACCTAAATGACATGAAAACGATTGCGTCACATCCCACTATGTTTACCAATTTAAATATATACGTGTTCTTACATATATAGAGAGGAGTAATCGTGATCTCAAATTTAGGGTATCTGAACATGTTGCAGAACATGGTTGCAGAAACAAATAAAATCAAATGACCCAATAAGAGTAGAGGCTAAACATCCATCATCCTCTATTGTTAAACATATAATTGAAACAGGTCATAAGATTGATCTTAACTCCGTTTTTGCGGTGTAAAAGGGCGTATACTAAAGTTTATTGAAGCCTCAGCCATACGAAAATTCAAACCCCCTCTGTGTATTGAAAAACAGTTTGTTCTCACCTTAAACTTACCCTGGTAATGTTAGCTTATTATCCAGAGTGATGAGGTTTCAAATTATTTTCACATTATTTCTTTATTATCCTTGCCTCCTCCTACACTCCATTTCTAGTCCAGTTAACCTTTTACTTCTTTATAGATAAATGTTTTTAAAAAGTATACATGTGATCAGATTGTTCGAAATATATTGTGCTAATTATACCAGCACATAGTTCTGATAATCTTCGTCTTCTTATTACACTATTGAAATAGAACATTCTTTAGAGTTTGAATAATTTTTTCTGGTTATGTTTTATTAAAGAGTTAGTTTTCTACGGGATGGGGTCGCTAACCCAATGCTTAACCCTCCCCTCTTATCCGGACTTGGGACAGGCATTAGCCCCAGAGGAGCTCCAGGCAGAGTGACAACATTGTTTATCTAGACAATAAACAATTTTCTTAAGTTCTTTCTTTATATTTGAATGAACTTGGAATTTAACAGTTAGAAAAACACACACTTTAAATTTCACCTAGTGACTATATTTTAAAACTTTATTAGGCTCTAGGGATGTTCGAAGAAGTTTGTTTTACCCATGGTAGCTTGGTTTTTCTATTTATTGACAAATTACTTTTAAGAAAATGTTGTAATTGTTATTCAATTAATTTTTCACATTTCTAGTAGCTCTAAGGATAAGTAAGAGATTTTAGTCGTTTTGTTTTGTTGGTATTTTTTCTTTAATGTTATTCATCATCGTAATAGTTTATAATCAAAGAGGGGTTTTTGTGGATAATACAGTAATTTAGTAGTTGAGATCATGAGTCAATTGGAGCTAGACCACTATAGAAGACCTGGGAGCACTGAAAGAACGTTTCGTCCCATTGTAGGACTCCTCAACAGTGCACATCCACAATCTCGCCTCACAAGATTTGAATTCAGGACCTATCGGTTTCGCGCGCGAACGCTAAATCTGTAGACTACTGTTACGGTATCTAACGGTGTTAATGTCTAACATGAAAAAAAACGTCAAAAATTTCACGAATTATTGAATATTGTATGGTTATTTCTTTTTACTTCTAAGAAAAAAGACGACCATAGTCAGTAAGTTTTGTATTTTTAATAAATTTATAAAATGAGTCAACTATATGGGGTGAATGAAATTTCTTAACGTACAGTACATTCGATACATGTTGGGGGTGTTAATTTTACCAGTATTTTACATACTGATAACATGTATTTGTTGCCCTTTGTAGTAACACTGAATTTATAATAAAACAGAGCATTTACGGTTTGTTCCTTTCTTAAGGAGGTGGTTTTTTGTAACTAGATAGTATATAAGAATTCTGTCTTCAACAGCAAGAAAGAAAAATGTATTTGAACAATCTGAGCAATGAAATTTGAAGTACACGCAACATTCCTCTCAGCAACCTATTCTAAGTTCTTTTCAAAGAGATATAATCAAATATTAAAATTCTGAATATAAATAAGTATATGGTTCTTCTATTAACTGTATAGTAAAAATTTCCTTAAATAATCTTGGATCAGATCATCCAGGAAAACGTTGAACGTACTTCAAATTCATTAACTGAGATTTTACCAATACATTTTTCCTTCTTAATGTCTTACATCAACTCGGCGTCCAAATACTCTGAAACTATTGATTCAAATTCAGACGAAAGTTCTTATAAAGTGAAATAGCGTTTTCTGAATAACATTATTTTAGCAATATCCTTTTTATGAGATGGAATTGCTAGCCCTATAACTAGGCCTCCTCCTTTACTCAAGCTAAGGATAGGCATTCACCCTGGAATAACTTCATGCTGAATTAAAGTAAAATAGACTAAAAATAGTAGAAAGTGTTCTTAGTGTTTCTAGACGAATTCATTATTTAATGACTTTTAATCATACTTTTCTTCAGTTTAATGTAATTTAATGTAATTTCTGGTTTACTTCCACTCATAAAAGTCATAAATCGGGTTCAAAACATCGGTGAGTGTTATCATATTCTTCAATGTTCAGTTTATTAAAGAAGCATCAGACATTTTCTGAAAACATCCTTAATGATATATGAAATAAGCACCCAATGATAGGTATATTAGTAGTGAAATACGTTGCTTAAAATTAATAGTAATTATTTCAGTACTTCAATTAAATCACCAACTCATATTGATAAATCTTACAGTGTAGGTTTCCATGGATTCTGTATAGTTTACAAACGTTCTTTGATATAAGTTAGATGAAAGCTCCAATGATAGTTTATTAGGTGTATTGACATGTTAACTTTGAAGTAATTCGTTATTTGGTTACGTTAGAATGGTGAAGAATAGTCACTATCTGAATAGATTAAGAGGTAATATTCCCAGTTGCAACAAACTGTGACTCAGATTATAACGCAGTTTGGAGCGATAGATCAGTTAAGTTATTATATATTCTCTGATATCAAACACTTGCTAGATCAAAATTTACTTGTAGAATTACTTCTCGATTGCCTACAGAAAACAACAACAGTATTTTGTCAACGTTACAACTCAATCTACAATACTCGACGAGAGATAAAAACTAGAAGCATGATACTGTTAACACGTGGTGATTAGTTGGTGTTAAGTAGAATAGGACTTACTCACATCTTCATGGTGAACTAAATATCAACATACTGTTTTATTATGAATATATATGCCACGTTTCTTAAACTATGAGTATAACTACATTTATTATTTATCTTACATATCAAAAGTCACGTATCTTTGTATCTCAATCCGTCTTACAACTGTTCAGGTCTCTAATTACCTATAAGAGTGTTAACTTCAAAATCGTGACTAAAACAATTCATGATCTTCCATCGGTGATACAGTTGATATCATCGGTGACAATGATATATATTTATACAGAATTAATGAATCTTAGAATCATTTTCGCCTACATAGCTTGATCGGTTCACAAGTTAATTAACTAATATGTTTCTATATTATAATATTCATAATCAATATCTTAGTCCCCATGTATTTTTTAAACAAAACTTTATTTGATTAGTTCTGGGTCATCGTAAGTCTTTTTTTTAATAATTGATCCAGATTTGAAATTACCATTCTACTTAAATTAGATACCAAATGGACATTTACTTTTAAAGCTCCATTATCTTTATTTAACTTTTATATAATTATGTCTATAGTTTAAAGAAGTCAGAACTGAGCTCCACAATAAAATGTTCACATTTCAGTTTAATCACTAAATCATAACCGATAGGTGTTCGAGATTATTGAACACCCATTAGAGATTTCAAAATATGAATTACGTAAGAGCCAAGTAGATATTCCCTGACTGACAAACTAGTAGATACTGCTGTTTCAGCTGATATCTTTCTCTTAGATTTGTTTCAATCACGTTCTATTAAGTTATATTATATTATCAATTTAAAGCTAATATGGAACTACTCAGCAATGTTTATCCACCATCTCGCGGGCGGAAATCCGACTCAAGACTTTAGGTCTCGCTTGTAAACGCTGTTCATACCGTTATGTGTTCTTTGCTCTTCCTCCTCACATTCGCTCTTGAGGATTCCACGTGAGGGCTTGCCTTGTGAAGCAGTTGAGTGCTTTCCTCAATGTGTGTCCTTTCCACTTCCAGCGAATCTTCCTGATGTATTCCTCCGCTTCATTCTGGTTTGTTCTCTCCCATAGTAGGTTGTTGCTAATAATGTCCGATCAACATATCCGAATTATTCGGCATAGACAACTGTTAATAAACACTTGTATCTTCTGGATGATGACTTTCATAGTTCTCTAGGTTTCTGCCTCATACAGTAGAACGATTTTGACATTTGTATTGAAAATTCTGACCTTATTGTTGGTTGATAGTTCACTTCACTAGAGTAATATTCCTAAAACACTTACATGAGTTTCAATGATCAATATAACATTATAAATGAACACGTTTTATGATGGAGTTTTATTCTCTAAGCTGGATGGTTTGGTTGTGCTCATAGAATAAAACTTTATTAAAATCATCTCTCTAAGCTACAAATCTTCTCCACCATCATCTTATAACACGTTTTCTTCATATAAATCATTTTATCTATACATAAGTGACAATTATATTTCAAAACTATCCGTATATATATAAAACGCCTTAACAACAAAATATCATAAAGGAGAATATATTCATCTGATAATCGATAATGTTTTAGATTAGCACAAAACATTCATCATTCAACAAATCATTGTCAGAATTGTTTTTCAACCTAATAGAAACAAATAATGTAAAACTGATACTCTATTTTAAGTCATATGGGTTTAGAATGATGTAACCATGCGAAATTGATACCTAATTTTTGATTAAATGGCATAATCATAAGAAGTTACTTAATTAAAGCTGATTTATTAATTTTCTTCTTAAGATTTGGTGTGTTCTTATTTTGTTTCTTTTTTGTTTATAAAATTCATTATACTTTATCACTATAGGGTTGTGGAGATTGTTAAGTTTCAGATTGAGATCATGAACCGATTGATGTTAGACCACCGTTGGAAACATGAAAGCACTGAACTGTCATTTCGTCTTAATATGACACTCCTCAGCAGTAGTCTAATATCAAATGATTCACGATCTCAATCATTATATTTTAGAATTGTTTGCTGACTTAATAATATCCTTGTTGATATGATATCATCAGTTGGTTTAACAGTATAAATGGGTTGTTTGAGATATATTTCTCTTCCCAAGTATGAAACAGTATTAATCCGTCTCTTACAAATTCGTTCAATATGTTAAATGTCAATGTAGTTGAAAATGTCATTAAAAATGGTAATTTCAGTCAGTCAGCAACAACGTAGGACCAGGCACATATATGCATAGATCCAAGTTGCCATACCTCATTAACACAACAAGATGGACACCGGATTCATAAATGTAGTTAATTCAGAGGTGGTAATATATAAAAGAAAGATTGCATATGAGGATATAGTACAGAAAGAAAGAATTAGTTCGTAGAAAGAATGATATGATAAGATATGGTAATTTACATATATAAATAATCTGAAATATACATTGAATGTCATTCAAATTACGGAATGTGTTTTCAGATTATGAAATATGTAGTTGGTAATAGGTTAGAATTATTTTCAAACAATATTGATCTGTTATCATATCATGATCATACTATCCAGTTCAAAGAATGAAACACCATCAAGATCTGATATCATGTATAACTCACCTAATTATAATCAACCATTATGTATTCATAAGATTTTATTATGGTGCAAATTGCAATAAAATCTGAAGTGTATGAAAGAATAATAAGTCCCTCTTAAAATGCTCTCACATGGCCACGCGTATATAGCCTCTGCCACGGAAGCACTACTCACTGACTTCTCGTGGCGGGGGTTTTGTCTACGAAATTTAGAGGACGAATAGCGAATGTCTGGCACTTTAACCGGGTTGGTGGACATGAAGAGTCCACCTAGGGTAGTTAGAAAACCCTTATTCCAAACCAATGGTGCACATGGACTCCAGTATCCTGAAGGACCAAATGGCGTATGAACCAATCGTTGGTCACCGGCTACCATGGGACTTCATCTCCTTACGATGCTCCACTGCCTTGTGGACCATACTTTCAGGTCGAAGGCTCCGGGTGTGGGCCGCTAAGAACACCACCTGCTTCTATTTGGGCACCCAGGTAGTATCACAACCCTCACACATATCAAATGAGATCTATGGTGCCTCCTTCATGAATTTTTCAGAACCTTGTACAGATTTCGGAACCTGAAAATTTAGGTTCTTTCATCACAGCTTATTTCTAGATACTTTATAAAGTCTAAAATACTTTTTGTTCGATTTCACATGTTTCTCATAGTTTTCATGACATGAGCAGAACATAAGGTTGTAAAAAATTCATTTGAACGTGTGTAGATAAAAAAACTCTCCAATAAAATGAGTCTAAATTGATAAATCATTATTACATCAGTTAATGTTTTGAAACATTAAAGTGGAGGAGAGTTGGGTTCGTAAAATCTCAGCGAATGAATTATGAAGTAAATTCAACGTTTCGCCTGGCAACCTAGTTCAAGCTTTTTTCCAAGGGAATATAATCAAACATCAAAATTATCGAATATAAATAGGTACATGGTTCACCAGTTTACTGTATACTGAATAGGTCATCCAATCCACGTTAACAATGTTTAAAGTAGGTATTTGCATTAAGTGTGTAAGAGACATGTGGTGTGAAACGAAAAGTGTTAAGATAATACATTATATGTGTACGCAAGTGGTATGAGAAGTAATTTCTCTCATCGGTGAATTAAAAAAAACACATATATTTTTATATATGATATGAATCCCAAATGTCACACACGTTGATTGGATGATCTATTCAGCACACAGTTAACCGGAGAACCATGTACCTATTAATATTCGATAATTTTGATGGTTGATTATATTCCCTTGGAAAAAAGCTTGAACCAGGTTGCCAGGTGAAACTTTGGATTTACTTCAAAATTCATTCGCTGAAATTTTACATATACATTCTTCCTCTTTAACGTCACAAATCAACTCAGCACGCAAATACTGTGAATCTATTCGATCAAATTTAGACAAAAGTTCGCTTTTTCTGCTCTTGATGTGAGCAAAGAGAATGATATGTAATTCCCGTCAGTTATTAAAAAGATTCACATTCTCTGTATAAACGCAGTATAGATTCGAATAATATTAATTAAGATTAAACAAAGCAGTTCTAAATAAGTTCGATAAGTGAGAGAAAATTCTGAAACATCAATATAGTAACTAAAAATCATAGGCTTCACAATCATTTAATTCTTGAGCTAATTAGATGAACTAGTTTATCGATGATTCATAGTAACGGGAGTTAAGATAAGGAAGTTTGAAAACATTTTGTAATAAAATGAGTTGTAGGGGGAGATTTATGACAATTACCTTTGAATTCATAAATTGGGTCTGAGGTGTTCAATTACTAAGCTCCAGATAAGTTTGGAAAGCTAAAGTTCCATTATCTTTTAATCATCTTGGAAGATTTGGATTTGTCAACTTGACATCTTGTGTCAAAGAGATGTCTTGATACTGAACTGTTGAAAGCTTATGATCTTTTTGAACTCAAGAATTTTGGAACATGTTGTTAGAATTGAATGTAGGCCTTTCTTTCTGTTCTGCCGATGTAACTGTTTTGGCTGATATAAGTAACGTTATGTACACAGCATAAAGAGGGTACCTAACAATCTTTGATTGGGATGTTGCGATATTTTTCGTGTATTTCATAAGGTCTTCTTCATCGTAAGTTAAATTTTATTTGAAATAAATTAATGTACCCAAATACTTTGGGATAAAATACTCACCTTTCACTTTGATTAAAATTCGGAGTTTTAACTCACCTTGAGGTTGGATTAACTAGTAAACAGTTTTATGCCTAGTCATTTTACAGGTGAAACAGATGTCAATAATTACACATTAACAAATCCTACACGACAAATGTTTTAGTAAAAGACGAATATCTAGTAGTCTACCAAAAAATCATTCAGTTATATCCATAGTCAGCTAATAGATCTGCAACAGAACTACTGTTTATTACAATTAGACAAAATTTGGTATAAGTAAAGTATTTTGCATTCCTAACTTAATCAATTCTAAATGTAAATAAAATGATCAACTTAAATATTCATGAAACTCGATCTCGTTCAAGTTTTTGTGAAGTAACTATAGATGAGACTATAAGCAGAGATGGATGATGGCTAGAAAGGGAATCCAGGATGCATGTTTCGTCCTATTTGGGACTTATCAGCTGGAGTGAAAATTAACTATAGGATGCAGTCATATCCAGCTGACGAGTCCCAAAAAGAATGAAACACACATCCTGGATTCCACTGTTAACCACCATTCATCTACGCTTATAAAACTTGTGATTCAAAGCAATATTAAGTCAATCCTCACAGGATGCACATATAATAATAAGATACTGATCAATTGTAGTTCTAAACATCATTTAGAAGATTCAAACAGCCAATACAAAAATGAATTATGGATGAGATTACCAAAGCCAGTGAGAAAGCATATACGAGGATACAATAAAATATAGAGAACTTAAATAACAATGTTTTTTTATAAGTTGCATACTTTGACTTATCTAAGTAAATTGTTCATCAAATAGTTGACACCTTCAGTGTTTATTTGTGTACAACACATCTAAGTAGCTGAATGGATTTTCTTTCAAAATACTAAACATTGAATATCATTTAAACCATCACTCATAGGACTAATCTTCCTTAATTTTCATTGTATCCTTTCATTTATCCATTTGTTTAATAAGTTTGTTTTTTTCTCCAAGTTTCCTACTATTAATTCATTGTTTGTTGTTTAACATTTAACTTAGATCGGACTCCGATCATAAAAAGTAAGTGCCATTACATATCAGATGAACAACCAGTTCATTATTAAATATAGTATATAACTATAAAAACGTTGTATTCAATACAACAATTTACAAGTTAAGTAAATTTTCAATTATGTGTCAGTCTTCAGGTAAGTAGGATTTAAGAGTTCAATATCTAAATAGCTAAGTAGTTACTAAAGCATTTTGTAAAAATCAATAATACGTAGACTGATTTCGATCGATGTTAAAGAACTGGTAATTTTATAGCACCACACATGCAATTGAGTTTGTTCTCGTTTGATTCAGTCAAACATATATTCATTCTGCTAGCTTTATCATTAGTTGCTTAATTGATTCGATGATCCATTCATATATATATATATATATATATATATATATATATATATATATATATGTACATTTAAACCTACACTCACTACTCTATCGATACGCTGACTCACTCATTTGCCTCTCTGCCTTGTGGTCTGAGTTATCTGTTAATAAAACTGTAGTCTCTGCTTCTCTTTGCCTTCTGATTTTGAACACCGTTGAGAATTATATGATAACGGTTACGAAGGTGATTGGTCAACGAAGCACAGCTACTACAATTTGTATTGGAACTCTAACTAACACTCACTAAGAAATAAACGAAGAACTGTGAAGACAGATAAGAGTGTCCTGGTTGTACTCTGTTGAACAAGTTACACTATGAGTATCAGCTTAAGTAATTTGACATTGTTTTGAATACTTCAAAAGTAACATTAGAGACTATAAAGTTTGGTGACTATAATAAATAAGAACATTCGTCTAAATTTGAACGAATAGTTTCACAATATTTGGGCGCCGTGTTAATGTGAGACATTAAAAAGGGAAGAAAAAGCTTGGACCAGATTGCCAGGCGAAACGTTGGATTTACTTCAAATTCTTTCTCTGAGATTTTACAAATACATTCTTCCTTTTTAATGTCTTGGTGACTATAGTTTGAATCCTGACGGAAGTATCAGTTTCTTTAAGATTGTAGAAACACCTTGATGACTAGTAGCATCTGGAATGAAACTCAAGTTAGAAAGAGGTTCATACTGTCTTCTTCCAACTATCTAACATTGAAAATTTGAAATTCCACATTCCAGAAAATATTTAACGCTGAATGCTTAACTATTCATTTAGGTTAACTCAAAGTTTTATATGGTTTGAAATTAATTTTATCGTTATCTCTGTCAACATAAACATTTTTTTGATACTTTCAAACATTAGGAAGTAAAAGTCATGGAATTAGTAAGTTATTACAATTTTGTTGATAAAAAACATGTTGTTTTGAAAAGCATTTATTATAGTTAGTATTGTGTGATGTATTCCTACAATTGCATTCCTACAATTGAAGAACATATGGAACTCAAAACAACTTTCAACCAATATCAAAGTGAGAATCTTCAATACGAACGTCAAGGCAGTTTTACTGTATGGAGCTGAAACTTGGAGAACTACAACAACCACAATCAAGAAAGTACAAGTATTTATAAATAGCTGCCTACGCAAGAGATACTCAACATCTATTGGCCGGATACCATCAGCAATAGCCTTCTGTGGGAGAGAACAAACCAACTTCCAGCTGAAGAAGAAATTAGGAAAAGACGATGGAAATGGATAGGACATACATTACGCAAATCTTCAAACTGTATCACGAGACAAGCCCTTACTTGGAATCCTGAAGGGAAGTGGAAAAGAGGAAGGCCAAAGAACACATTACGTCGGATAATAGAAGCAGATATGAAAAGGATGAATTACAACTGGAAGGAGCTGGAAAGGATTGCCCAGGACAGGGTTGGATGGAGAATGCTGGTGAGTGGCCTATGCTCCTTCACGAGGAGTAACAGGCGTAAGTAAGTAAGTAATTGTGAAATGTATACAATGAGAATAAACGATATAAGATACATGTTAAATAAATTACATCCCTTATTTCGAATACACGATAAGCCCCCAAGAATCAAAACACTTTTACAATGGAATAGTATAAGAACATAGAAATTATAGGTTTCAATTCCAAAGAGCTTAACCGTATTCTAGTAGCCTTTAACGACATATTCTAAGTTGGTTGTTATTTTCACTGAAATCAATCGAATTGTAAGAAATAATTATAAAAGAATTTGCAATGTAAATCAATATTCAATCAAATGTTGATAGACTCAATTGAAAATTTATGAATCATGTATTAAGTAACGTCTACTTTAATTATTGCCACCTTAATAGTCGTCAACCCTATCTCTGACAAACATTTTGTATACATTTACTTTTTCTCATTGTATCAAGATTTAGTTTTATTCTGGGTTTAATAATGAAAATGATTTTCATTAAAGTGAATTACATGTTGAATTTGTTGTCCCACCGCTTCAACGTCCTCTTATAATTAAAAAGGCTAATTTCACATTCTGGTGTTGAGGTATTATTATACTTTAGATTAGAAGGTAGGAATGGTGCTTTTGAAGTGAAAGCATATTAAACTTTGAAAAACAAATTGATATTGTGGTGTAGATTACTTATATGCAACTAAGTAGTATATAACGGTATATTTACAACTGAAGAACATCTGGAACTAAAAACAATTGTCAACCAACAACAAGGTCAAAATTTTCAATATAAATGTCAAAACAGTTCTACTGTATGAGGCAGAAACCTGGAGAACTATGAAAGCCATCATTCAGAAGATACAAGTGTTTATTAACAGTTGTCTATTCAAAATACTCCGGATCAGTTGACCACGCAGTATCAGCAACAACCTACAATGGGAGAGAACAAACGAGAATCTAGCAGAGTAAGAAATCAGGAAGATTCGCTGGAAGTGGGTAGGACACACATTGGGGAAAGCACCGAACTGTGTCAGAAGGCAAGCCCTCACATGGAATTCTCAGGGCCAAAGGAAAGAGGAAGATCAAAGAACACGTTACGCTGGGAAATTGAGATAGACATGAGAAAATGAACAAGAATTTGATGAAATTGGAAAGGAAGGAGTAGGACAGAATGGGTTGGAGAATGCTTGTCGGAGGCCTATGCTCCTTCAGGAGTAACAGGCGTAAGTAAAGTAAGTAAATAAAGTATATAACGGTGGACAGGCATAGAATGTATTTCAGTAGAAGATCGATAAGGAAAGAACAGGAACGGAGAACGGGAACGGAACACAATTGGTATGAATTGCATGAACAATTAAATCTGAGACAATGGATTGATGTTTGCAACAAGAGCAGTCAACTTTGAGATGATGGATTGATATTTTGCAAATTGACTATTTACTATATGGTTCTCAGATTTCATTGAGATGCTCTGTAATTTTGAGCTCAAATACATTCGATTCTCCCTACTCTTGTTCTTGTTCACTACAATATCACTGGAAAATTGAAATTTATTGGGATGCCTATTAAACACTAATATAATTATGTGAATAGCTTTGGTAGAAAAGCAAGAAAAACTTATTTCTTAAATTGGATTAAGCAAATCCTGATGGGAAATATAACATGATAGTCAATCGACAATCGTGTGTGAACTTCTATTTAACAACTTATAAACTAATGTAATGTGCCTACCCAAGGTCCCCTGATTTTCTATGATTCTCCAACTTACATCAGTTCATGGCCGAAAAAACATCATATAGTATCTCGTTTATCAAGTAAAGATGTATATAATATGCTATCACTTTGTTTGGATGGTATTTACGGTAGATGACTGACTAACCAAAATGAGGTATATGAAATCGTATTGTAAACTTCACATCGACTACTTGAACTGAAAAGACATTGTTATATATAAATTTAACCGTATAGTGACTGTTACTATAGTTTCATAGGTTTTGATTTCTTTCTAAGCACCTTTCCGTTTTCTCAGAACCTTGATCATTAAATACTTATAAATAACTATTCTTATTCATTTTATTTTAGATGAAAATGAAACGTTTTTTACAATTTTTATCATTAGTTATTTTCTCATTAAAGTTAATTATTATTAAAATACATTCGTTTAAGTAAACGTAAAACGAAGTTTGTTTTTCTTTACAAGCTCTAGTTTATCAAAACTTTGTATATTAGAAGTGGTCTAATGGTTAAGCGCTCGCGAACGAGATTGATAGGTTCTGGGTTCGAATCCAGCGGGGGGCGGGATCTTGGATGCACACTGCTGAGGAGTCCCATACTAGGACGAAACGGCCGTCCATTGCTTCCAGGTTTTCCGTGGTGGTCTACCTTCAATTGACTTATGATCTCAATTATTGATATATTAGAAGTGTAGAACACAATAGCATTCTCATAAGTAAACAATACAGACATGTTATTTTGACGCAAATCCTTTATTTTTAAAGAAGATATCAAGCTTAAACTTTGTAGTGGTCGGTATTCGCGATGTAATCGTTAAACTTCGTAAATAGTTCATCCTGATGACCGTTACTAGATAAATTAAAAGACGAGTATGAAGTGCTGATCGTGTTTGCTATTACACGATGCACAGATCCCCAAAACCACAGACACATGAAACAAGAATGAAAGACTAATGTCGGAATGCGAGCGTGCGAATTCGCGAGTTAAAATGAATAGGATTAAGATTTACATCGAATCCATTAAGCGACTAAAATTAAAGCTAGCAGAATAAATATGTGCGTAGATGGTAAGCAATGTTGAAGCATACATATTCATACAAACACAACAATAATAAAGGTACAATGGTATAGATAAGTAGTTATTGTACGAATGACTCTGTCCTTTAAATAAGTAAACTAATGGGCTTAACCAAATTAAATGTGAACAAAGTCAATCGCACATGAGCCGCTATAACTTTAACATACCATAGATAAGTTATTCGCTGAATGAACATTTTTGATAAAAATAATTCAGCCACACATCTACAGTTTTGTATTCTATGAATAATCATTACTCGAATGAAAAATCCCACTAGTCCAAAAAGTTAAATAAAGCATTATTGATCATTCATTGCAAAACAACTATTTAGAGAGAGTATTAACCTGACAGGTTTTTAAATATTATCTGCTTAAAAAGATTGTCTTTGAATCACATTAGTGCATATGATGATGTTTTGTTTTGACGTAAAACTTGAGTAGCTGAATAAATCAGTTTACTTCGTGATAAAGCTAAACTTACTATATGTACCAAGTAATTATTTTATAACCTTAGCTTCACTCATTTGATGCATCTCTGCAAAGTTCGTGCTTTACAGTAAAAATAGTGTCTTTCAACATTTTCTTAATTTAGAAATCACCTGACACTTAAAAACGCTAGTTACCATAGGAAATAATATAAAGCCCTAATGCCATCCATGGTTAACGGTTGTTAGTTGTTAACAATTAATGTTAGCGAATTAACAATGACTGAAGTTATGAGGAGAACGCGTCAGAGGAACAGCTGCCCGGAAGGTACTGTCGTTTCTGCAGCCTATAAAAGTGTCGTGGTTGACGACTGAGAGTGGAATCAAAACACTGTAATTATCAGGCCATACTGAATATAACTCTATAAGAGCAGATTGCAATGAAGACCGGATATATTTGTCTGAACAACACAATTAAACTGGTAATAACACCCAAAAACATTACAATAAAAATTGCCAGGTGATTAACATTTCTGACTGTTTTCTTCCATACTATGCAGATCAATAATCGAAGCCAGTCACCACAAAATAATGTTTTTTCATAAACTCCTAATGTCTACTGGACGAACGTAGCTGAATATAATCGAACGTTAAACGACGTGAAAAGTATCAATGAAGGTAACACCTTGACAGTTGCAGTCTTATAACAATCTAGCCCGTCTCATCTTCACCTGGTAGCCAGGCTATCTCAATTTTCTAAGTAGTCTTAGAGAGCAAACATCATTGCTATGTTCATTATATTCTCTGAATATTAATCGATCATGTTACCTTCGTTATGACAATCACTAACGGTATAATATTTTCAGAAGTTGAAATGAAATTGTTAGGAGAAGTAATTAGGATTTGGTTTATGGATAGCGCTTGGGTGATCTATTAACCTGAACTCTTTAAAAAGAATGCTAAATCGAGGTGGGAACATTTTTGTGATGACAAATGGCGAATAGTGACAACTGTAAGTATATATTATTATCACATACTTGAAGACTTATTCCTACTCGTTTTAATTTTTCCGTAGCTTGGAATATGTAACTTATCAACTCACATTGCTAGACCAAGTACACTTAGTTTGAGATCAGAGTAGCATAAGAATCATGATAAAAATATGGCAGTAGGTTAAACTGTAAGTGAAAGTATGAGTGATCTAAATGACCTTGAAAAATTCATGCTATCCAAACAATGAAAATGTAGAAAATATGAGAGAGTCCTTCAGAATGATGGCTGAGGATTCATGTTTAGTATTCTTATGTGTGGTCGCAAAAGAATACAACTAGAAGATTGTTTTACGCAACTAATGAACTAATGACCAGCATTCTCCAACCCACTCTGTTCTACTCCTTCCTTTCTAGTTCCATACAGTTGTTGTTCATTCTTTTCATGTCTAGCTCCATTTCTCAGCGTAATGTGCTCTTTAGTCTCCCGTCTCTTATTCTCTTTTGAGGATTCCATGTGATGGCTTGTCTTCTGACACAGTTCGGTGCTTTCCCCAATGTGTGTCCTATCCACATCCAGCGAATCTTCCTGATTTCTTACTCTGTTAGATTCTCGTTTGTTCTCTCCCACAGTGGGTTGTTGCTAATAGTGTCTGGCCAACATATCCGAAGTATTTTGAATAGACAACTGTTAATAAACACTTGTATCTTCTGGACGATGGCTTCTGTAGTTCTCTAGGTTTCTGCTCCATATAATAGAATTGTTTTGACATTTATATTGAAAATTCTGACCTTGTTGTTGGTTGACAATTGTTTTTAGTTCCAGATGTTCTTCAGTTGTAGATATGCTGCTCTTGCTTTGTCGATCCGCGCCTTCATATCTGCATCAGATCCACCGTGCTCATCAATGAAGCTTCCCAGATATGTAAAGATTTTCACACCTCCCAAATCCTCTCCGTCAAGTGTGATTCGATTTGTGCATGCTGTGTTGTATCAGAGAATCTTGCTTTTCCGTTTGTGTATGTTGAGACCTATTGCTACTGGAGCTGCTACTACACTAGTCGTCTTCTCCTGCACTGGTTGTTGCGTGTGTGATAGGAGGGCCAGATCATCTGCGAAATCTAGATCGTCCAGCTGCATCCTAACTGTGCACTATATCACATACTTCTCCCCAGATGTTGACGTCTTTATAATACAGTTGATCACCAAGAGAAAGAAAAGGGGTGGGAGTGAGCAACCTTGCCTAACACCAGTTTATACTTAGAATGAGTATGTCAATTCTCCTCCATGCACGATTTTGCAGTTTAACCTATCATGGGAATTCCGCATGACATTGGATGTCGAAAAAGCTTCCATACGCTTGTCTTGTCCACGCTCTCAAATGCTTTCTCGTAGTCAATGAAGTTGATGTGGAGTGATGTATTCCATCCAACTGACTGTTCCACAATGATCCGCAGTGTTGGCTGGTACACGATCGATCCCTTTAAAATCCAGCCTATTAGTCTCTAATTTGAGTGTCTACAGGGTCCTTCATTCTCGTTATCAACACATTGTTAAAGAATTTTCCCGGTATTGAGAGAAGATTGATGCCCCCCTAATTATCACACTTGCTCAGATCGCCTTTCTTTGGTATGTTAACCAGAACTCCTTCATCCTAGTCTGTTGGTACTTGTTCCTCATCCCAAATTTTATTGAAGAGAATATGGAGTATCTTTGCAGTTGCCGCTACGTCTACTTTCAGTGCCTCTGCTGGAATGTTGTCTGGTCCTGCTGCTTTGTCACTCTTGATTTGTCTGACAGCCATGCTGAATTCTTCAATTGTTGGTGGGCCAACATTGATTGGGAGGTCCGTGGGTGCTGCTTCAATGTTGGGTGGGTTCAGTGGGGCTTATCGGTTCAAGAGTTCTTTGAAGTGTTCTATCCACCTGTTTCGTTGTCCTTCAGTGTTGGTGATTGCCTTGCCTTCCTTGCTTTTCGCTGGTCTTTCATGTTTACGGTGATTTCTGGAGAGTTTCTTTGTTATGTCATACAGTTTTCTCATGTTTCTTTCTCTTGCAGCCTTTTCCGCCGTCATTGCTAAGTCTTCCATATATTAACGTTTGTCAGTTCTGATGCTCCTCTTCACTTGCTTGGTTACTTCTGCGTATTCAGCTTGTGCCTTGGTTTTCTCTGATCTTGTTCAGCTGATGTTGATTGCGTCCTTCTTGTTCCTCTTTTCTTGAATCTTGTCTAGTGTATCGACAGTAATACATTCTTTGTGGTTGTGCTTCTTGTGGTCCAGAAACCGATGACATGTTGAAGTGATTGCCTCATTGACCCCCTTACAGTTGTTGTGTAGTGTGATTCGGTGAAATCTACTGATATTACATATGATTTAATAATGCTTCATAACCAAACACTTGACTAGTTTGTTCATAAGTTATAGTCTTACCTTTTCACCAAATCTAAAGGCTAGTAATAACGTTGTTTTGAACGTGGCTTACGACCAAAAAACTAGAGTACAAAACTATGTTTTTGATCTCCTAACAATTTTGAACAACATATGGGAATATTTCAAATTTTGAAGTCACGTGGGGATCCGATTGCATTTAAGGTGTTCAATGAGTTCCTAAAGTTTAATGGTCGTCTCACTGAAGCGAAAACATCGTTGGAATTTATTAATGATTGTACACGGAATGATAGATATCCTAAAATATATTGGGAATGTTTACGCCGGAACAAAGTTTACCCGAATGCCAGAACCCTTAGACGGCATGCACTTAACCAAACGGATTCATTAAAATTACACATAAACAATCTAGAAAGAAATCTTTCACAAAGAGAATATATGCTCGATAACATACCACCGGAAATAAAATCACAATTTATGGATTATAATAACATGGTGGCAAAAAGTAGATCAGAAAAACTGGGAACAAAACTAATT